CTAACGTCACGTGTCATTAAGTGTTGAGTTGTTCCAGTTTAGTTTCATAATATTAGGTGTGATGGTTTTTGTGATCATGCTTGTTTGAATACATTGTCGTTTTTTTTTCCATTTCTATTATTTGCATGGTAAAATATTTTTGAACCACTCACAAATTGTATTCATCTTACCAGTGCTTACTGGGCTTTTGTAGCTCTCCCTTTAGAGATCGGTGTTGAACTCAAGGCCCTACAGGTGTTACAAAACCCTTTATTGAAATAAATTGAACACATTTTGAACATTTTCCTTTGGATTGCAATAGTAGTTAACCATCACTTTGTTGTGTATGTGTACTAATTATGTTGAGTTAGACATTCGTCCATCCATTCATTTTTTTTAATCCGCTTACTCTCACAAGGGTCATGGGCGTGCTCGAGCTTGTCCCAGCTGTCCATGGGCAGTAGGCGGGGTACACAAGTTAGACATACTGTACATTTATTTGCTTTTACAGCCATAACCGGCTTTTAAGGGAAACCCGAACTCAGGGATGGGTAACTGGCGCCCCTCGATTGTTTTTGAAAAAGAAAATGTTGACTGTAGCAGAACAGTTTTAAGTTGTAAAAATAATGTTCAGCACAAGATGACAGATATTGCTGAAAGACTCCTCCAACTCCAAAACTATCCTCTTCAGAGAAGAAGAGAGAGTGGGTCTGGAACCAAGTTAGGCCAGAACCAAATTAGTTCAAGAAAGTGATGCAGTTCAGGTATAATAGAAAGCCGAATTCAAACCTATCTGCCAAGTTTTCAGTCATGAAAGATTACAAACTAAGACAACACTATAACACCAATCTCACACAAACAGCAATTTTTTTTTCACACGAATCGTTGATAGTTCGTTTGAAGTGCATGAGGAGCTACTAAATTTGCGCTCTCCAAAAACATGGATACATTCAAGGCTTCATGTTACAAACACGTATTCTTGCTAAATTGGACAAGCGGCTGTTGTAACGGATGGCTGGCACGAGGAACAAACTTTTTTTGTGGCCCCATTTATCTTTAAATTTTCCCATCCCTGCCTTAACTTACAGTGTGGCCTGTCACAAAAATGAGATCCCCATGTCTTCTCAAGGGCCCCCCTGCTACACATTTTTCATCATTTTCTATAATTATACCACTCCAACATGAAAGTTCGGAAAAGAAAAAAATGACTTCATTCTCTCCATTTATTCTTGAATGACTTCATACATTGAGATAAATAGATAAATAGAAACAGAAAGTGAAGTCTAACTGCGCATGGGTGCGTAGACGTGCTAGCTACAGTAGAAAGGGGGGTTTGCGCCATTGTGGGAGCGAATACAGGCAGCTTCTTTCCCGGCCAATGGAAGCAGCTCCCTTAATTCCCTAAAAATTAGCACAACAGAGGTGCACCATGAACATTGCGGAAGAAGACATCGACGTCCATGTAGGAGATCGGTGTGCGCAAACTACATTTAAAAGGAGCTGCAAGAATATCTCCACTTGCGGACGACGTAACATTGGCTGCTGTGAGGTTCCGTTTTCTGTTAGGCAAAATATTTGATTCCGCATGAGACCCGGCATTGTTTTTGTGTTTTATGGTGTTTGCTCTATTTAAGTTATTGGTTTTCTGTTTTTAACTGCTATTGCATGACTGATTTTTACTTCATCTAGCAGCGCTTTGTGTGCAGCAATGCTTGTTTTAAAGTACTCTATAAATACATAAAATTGATTTGAGTTCCACTACAAAGCTCCGATCACGCTGTGTCCTCCCTGCATGTACAGGCGGTCTCATGCAATAAACACCACTAAGTAGCTGTGTGTTTTTATTTGAAGTACCGTCGTGTGCCGGGGCAGGGTATTTTCAGGACATAGAACAGCTTCAGCTGTCATCAGGGTTCTAATAGTTTGGGATTTTACATGACAGTTAGTTTTACTTCATTTTGACTGTTGGTTTTAAATTCAGTTAGTTCATTTAATTGGCTTAGTGTTCTTAATTTTTTTTCAGTTTTCTTACGTTTTCCAGTATATATATATATATATATATATATATATATATATATATATATAAATATGATGAAATCCACCAAACTTGTCACAGTCTGCTTGCACCTCGATCAATATATATAGCAACTTGTGCTCAAGAGGCAGCCTCGAATCTGAAGAAAAAAAGAACAAAAACAGTAAAAGTAGAGATGAAATTTTCACTCGTGGAGGCAGTACTTCGTCACCTTGGCGTGGAATTACATGTGTCAATTCGCGTGCAACGGACTACCAGACACAAATAATGTGTGCGTGTTAGTGTTGGATTCACCACGAACTTTTCTAGCATGTGACGAACGAAGTATAAAGTCCAGGGACAATACGGTTTGGGAGGTGAGTCTCTATGCTCACTGCATTCTGTTCTTCTTTGAGTATTATTGGTAATTTATATTTCCAATTATACTGAGCATCCAGGACAGAGACAATGTGTTTGTCTTTCTTTTGTAGTTCCATGGAAAATAGGTGGTCGGAAGCTGAAAAGTATTCACGCCATTTGCTGTCAAGTTTATGATTTGCGTCTGCAGTGCTGCATGCACCACATCCACAGGTCAGCAGAGAAATTGACAAATGTATGAAAGGTATTGTGTGAAGCGCTACCTCAACAAGCGAGAATGCTTTTATTGTCTTCACAGGCTTTCTTTTCCACATTCTGGGCACCGCTTTCACAAGTGAAAGTCGCTGGTCTCCTCCCGCTCCGGGTTGTCATGGCAATGCAAGCCGTCCTTTTTGTTTTTCTGGGTGTGCAACCAGGAACCATGATAATTACATCTCACTGCAGGCTACAGTAGTGACTTTGAAGTCGTGATTTAGAGGAGGAACAAACCCCAATTGGTTGCTGCAAAACGTTGTCAGAGCTAATTACCATAAAATGGCCCAGACTTCACTCTCAGTCATCTGTTTTGCAAAATCACGTTTGAAAAGTTAAAAAAAAAAAAAAAAAAATCAAAAGACGGAAGGAAGTTGTGAAGTTCTTTCATCTCGCCGCTTGAGCTTGATGTATTTCCTTATTTCGCGTGTTTAAAAATGCTGTTGTGAGTCAAAATGTTGTTGATCTGTTGCGGGTACTTCACTTGTCTGGCATTCTTGGAGTCTTTTTGCAGTTCAGCGGGATTACAAAAGAATTTGAACATTCTCCTGATTTTTTTTTCCCCCTGTCTCTGAAGAGAATGAATCAAAAGTTATGACATTGCTGGCAGCCACACGTGAAGATCTTGAAACTAAGCATGAAGGGCCAACCATCTTCAACTTTTTTTCTGTGCATTTCACTCGATTTGATGCAATTCTGAAGAAATTGCGAAGTTCTCTTTCGCGTTGTCTCTCATTTTTGTGCTCCGCAAAGAAGCCAAACTCCAGTCCATTTGGCAAATATCTGTGTCTTTTATATGTTCACAGTTAGTCTGGACTGCCTCGAATGGAGCTCTCATTTGAACAGCTGCATTTCGGAATGAAAGGAACAGAGAGCGAGGTTGGTCCAAGACATGATGTCTGAGTCAAGGGTGGAAACTCTGAATGTTCTTACGCCACTGTGCAAAAAAGCTGCAAGCCATTACACATCACACTGCTGCCTCACAGGCTAAAAAAAGAAAATAGGGCTCCCCCTGAACTGTCTTCAAAGCAAAAAAATAAAAAATAAATAAAAATGAATTCAAATACAGTATAGTACAGTCCACATACAAGCCCCAACCACAACCCGCAAAAACACTTCTGGTAAACCTTTGTTTGAAAATGGGCAAAGATTGGGAGAGAATTGACTTCCCAAACGGATTATGTATGACTTTGACAACCGGTGAGCATTCTCACATGTGACGACTTGTGTTCTTCAGGTCTATCCATCATGTGCGATGGATAGGAAAATATCTGGAAGGCACCTGGAGTGGATTCCAAGAGCTGAACCAATGCAGACGAGGGGTGGGGCAGGGGGGGCTGGGGTAAAGCAACAACTTGGGATCGAAAACCAAATACAGTACATGGTAACTTTGCTGTCTACTGACAGAATTCAAGTATGCTATCGTACTGAAAAAAAAATTGGTATGTAAATGCTGTGTTGCTTTGTATTGTAACTGTGTCCTTAGTATCAAGGCTTGTATGAGTTCTACTCGGGAAGAATACTTTTCTCATACTGAGCCCCCTCATGGTTTTCGAACTGCAAGCGCTGATAATGTTAAAAATGCTGTTCTGAGTGAAAGAGTTGAAAATGAGGTGTTGATCTGTTACATGGATAGTACTTGGGGGGTTGGGGGGGGGGGGAATTACACAATGGACCCTCCCTTACTTTCAGTTTGGCACCTGAAGATTAATCTATTAACCCTTTCACGCACCCTGTAACCTGATAACATGATAAGATGTCCACTGTAGTAGCCGCCATGCCTGATAGGGTTAACTGATTTTTTTTGCCCTAATATTTAATTAGTATTATTTTTTTCCCTTTGGGATTTGTTTCTATATTACGGTTTGGCAGCATTTTTACATGACTGGTTTGGGTTTAAAAAATGCATCTTAGCAGTGATTCTTATGTTTTTTTCCAATATATTTCATTGGGGATTTTCGCTATTTACTGGTTGTATGGAGTGTGTGTGTGTGTGTGTGTGTGTGTGTGTGTGTGTGTGTGTGTGTGTGTGTGTGTGTGTGTGTGTGTGCGTGCGTGCGTGTGTGCGTGTGTGTGTGTGTGTGTGTGTAAAGCCAGCACCGTCACTTGAAGACTTGCCAGCGTGATGTACTCTAGCCACACCCTTGTAGGTGTCTTCAGTAAATTGACTTCCATCTTATTCAAAACCAGCATTTACTGTCAATCAATTTGCACGCAAAAACAATTTATTGTTTCCAGATTTCAAGTTTTTCCTTTCATTAGATGTTAAGGGCTTCAAAGTTGAAATTTTGATCACGGCCACACCCATTCATCCATCGTGATAGCTTCTTACAGTCAAATTGAGACAAGCACTCCATAGAAATAAACTCTCAAATACCTGGTAGATCATGACTTTAAAGTTGCGTCTCTTTAGCAGCTCGGCCTCGTTGGTCTCCAGCTTCTTGATTTGTCCCGCTTGCTTCTCTAAGTTGGCTCTCACCGTCTTGACGTTGACGCTCACCTTCCGCACTTTCTCCATCATTTTGTTGACACTGTTGGATGTAGTGCTATGGTTCTTGGTCAGCTTCGTGAGCTCGCCTTGGATATTGGTCACCGAGCGCTCCATCTCCTGCTGCCTGGATTCCAGCCCGCTCTGGGTCTGTTGGATCTGATCGACGGCACCGATGATCTTGTCAAGCAAAGACAGCACCAGCACTCCATTCACCTGCTGGTCCGATTTGCTTGATTCATCCTTGTCTTCGGCAGCTTCGCCTTCCGTTTCTATGGCGGACAGCTCTTTCTTTGCCGCTGCCAGTACATCATCTTCATCTTCTGAAAGAGGGATGTTGACTTCGTCATCTGAGATCTCCGTGAGGGATGGTTTCTCTAGCTGCGCGCTTGAGCACTCCAGTGCTTCCATTGCTGCCATGTCAGTGTCGTTGAAAGGGTTAGGTTAAGAGATCAAAGTTCTTCAGTTGGTCCTCTTGGTCGCTCCTGCTGGATTTTTCTCACTTGCTACTCGGCCTCTCTAGCAAAGATCCTTTTCTGTCTCAGGCATAAATGCTCTCTCTCTGTCTTTGTCAAACCCCCTGCTGTGTTCAGGCCACTTTGTAGGTGGTGCCAAGCGAAGCTGCACGTTACCACATGAGCTCTGGGACGTGAATGCCTCACCAGGCAGAGAAACCCTTAAGTCAAGCGACAACCAACGGTGTTTTCTCTCTCTCTCGCTCTGGCCACTCTCCTTTTTTTCCATTCGGCTCTCCCCCTGTCATTAAAACCCTCCCTTTTCCCCTCCCATACACAAATTTGGGATCCACACAGTCGAGGGAAAAAAAGACTCCACGTTAGACTCCATGTAGGTCCTCCCCTTTGGTTCTATCAGTTGTGGGTGGAATAGAGCAGAGCAGAGTAGAGCTGATTTGTGTATACAAATGCCCAGACCCAGCAAAAACAGGAATGTATGGCATTAGAAACGCCTTTTAACTCAGAAGATTACTCCTCTCTCTCTAAAACACGGGTGTCAAAGTCAAGGCCCGGGGGCCCAGATCTGGCCCGCGACATCATTTCATGTGGCCCGCAAAATCAAATCAAACATGGCAACTTCCATGATGCTTGCTAAAACATGGACCAAACATTTTAAATTCTCATGTGTAATAAATAAGAGAGTTACTTCAACAATAGTTGAATAAACTGTTATTCTTGACTTGTTCATATGATTTCAGCCATAATGGCCCTCCAAATCTCCATTTTTTTAAAAATTTTTTTATAATATATTGTGGGGAGCAGAGGTGTGGTTCACACTGTTGAATCATAGCAAGACATCGGCGCCTACATTGCAGCTGACTGTTATTTTTATTATTATATATCCATTTTCTACACCGCTTATCGGAGGTGGATAAAGAACTCACATTCACTACTCCAGGGGAAGTACAGATAGGGTTTAAGAAGACTTCTGTCAAAGTTGAAGTATCAACTTTAACTTTCTACTCAAGTAAAAGTGTCAAAGTAATGGTTTCCATACTATTTAAAGTATATCTTCTTCAGGTTGGCAGGTGAGTACTCTGCCTGTTACACTTACAAGAATGGTTCTTGTGCACTCAAAACATGCTTTTATGCTCAAAATTGCCAACTTCTGCCTATATCCTCATAAAATGCCTTGCACTTCGGGATCAGTGTTTCCATCCAATTTTTTTTTCCGATTGAACATATTTTCTATTGATATTGATCACAACACATGTCTATTGGGAAACATAATGATATTGATTTATTGCCCAGCTCTATGTCCAACTACAATCAAAATCAGTCGATGCTGGCATGATTTATCCTGATAGGGTTTTTTTTTCTGGGGGGGGGGGTTTAAACAATGACAAGTAGGAATGAATGCAATAAAAAAATAAAAAGGCTTTTTTAAAGTGTAACAAGTAGAAAGTATAGAAATTTGAGCGAAAATGTAATAAGTACAACTAAAAAGTAGGCTGGAAAAATAAACAGTCTAGTAAAGTATAGATACCCAAAATATCTATTCGAGTATTGTTACGCAGTATTTTTTACTTTGTGACTTGCGACTACTGATGCTTATTCTCGACAAACAACCATCCACAGGACACTTTTGAAAGCTTTAATTAAGCTAACATGCATGTTTTTAGGATGTGGGGGAAACCCACGCAGGCAGAGGGAGAACATGCAAAAGTCCACAAAGGAAGGCCAAAGTCTGGATTTGAACCCACGACCTCTGAGCTGTGAGGCTATCCAGTTGTCCTTGCTGTCATATCATTCATTCATCCATTACTTTTTTATAGCCGTGTTTCGACTTATGACTTTCAAAATAAAACGGTGCATCGTCAGCCGATTTAATCGAATAGCATAAATAGACTTTACGTGCCACAATAAAACCCCAGCCTTATGTCGTCATTATCAATTCTCGAGACCGTGTTCTTGACAGAAAACTGAAATCAATATGCACGGTCGATTTACTTTTATTTTGATTTCAGCGGCGGATGTCCCGTTTCTTGTTTAGTGTGTCACACTTGACGCACAGTGAAGGACCGGAGCATCCCGCATCCACAAGGCTTGAAAGGCCAAAAATTTGTCGAATTGCACTTTTCAGCGGTAAGTCAAATAAAAATACATCGCTTTTTTTTTATGCAGTGTTAATTTCATGAACATTTCGTTCAACGCAAGTGCCTTATTTTCAAATATCCATAATGTTTGACGTGTGAATTGTAAGGACGACACTGCGAAACCGAGTGATGTTTTCAGTGGTTCGTTTTTTATTTTTGGACATCATTGACCGTGTTGCGGGTTCATTGCTCGAGCGTGTATGAATTGTAGGTACTTACAATACACCTGTGGTTTTTCACGAGATGGCGGTTGAGTACAAATGTAGAGGCTATAGATGCTGTCATGAAAACAAGCAGCGTCATGGCGTCCTTGAGCTGAAGGGCAGCGCTGCAGTAGGAAGGATGCTCACGACAGATGGCCTCGACTCTGTTTTCACTCGGCTCCGATTAAGCTTAACATGCAAACACGGAGTAATGGAGAATTGATGTTCCCCTCTCTTATGCCTCGTTTGGTCTTTTGTGTCTCTGTGTGTTGCCGTCTAGTTTTTACATCAGCTAATTACATTTATTTGGATGACGAGAAGGGTGTGGGGTGCGGAGTGTATGTCGTCACTAATATGACATGGTAAAAGGTAACAAACTACATAATTTAATGAAACCCTGCTGATTAAAATGTCAAAGGCGACCCTAATAAGGACAAATGTCTCAAAAATGGTTTCATGATCGGAAAGATCGATGTACATTTTGTTATTTGTGTCAGAATGCTCAAATCAGCTGTTAGTGTGGTTCTACAGCCCTGAGGGAAAAAAAAAAATTCATAATAAAATTGGAAATAACACATTTTGATTGTGTCAAACAAAACTGAGCAACGAAGCCAGATATTTTTCGGTGGCGTGGCCAGCGTGACAAAGTAACTTCCTAAGGGGCGGCCATAAGATGACACGTGTGTGGAAAATACACACGGACTGTATACCAGGAGGGTGGCCCAGTGATCCAGTGGGTAGCGTGTTGACCTCACAGTGCAGAGGTCCCGGGTTCAATTCCAGCTCCGGCCTCCCTGTGTGGAGTTTGCATGTTCTCCCCGGGCCTGCGTGGGTTTTCTCTGGGTACTCCGGTTTCCTCCCACATTCCAAAAACATGCATGGCAGGCTGATTGGACACTCAAAATTGTCCCGAGGTGTGAGTGTGAGCGCGGATGGTTCTTTGTCTCTGTGTGCCCTGCCATTGGCTGGCAACCGGTTCAGATTGTCCCCTGCCTAGTTCCCGAAGACGGCTGGGATAGGCTCCAGCACTCCCCATGATCCTTGTGAGGATAAGCGCATTGGAAAATGGATGGATGGATGGATCGATGTATACCAGGGATACCGACCTTTTTGAAACCGAGCACTACTTCTTTGGTACCAATTCATGCAAAGCTCTACCACGTCGATACACTCCTCTGAAATCACAAATTTTCTCAAGTTACTTTTTTTGTGGTATTCTTAATCCTTTTTAGAAGTACTCATGTTGTCCTTGGAGTCAACCTGGTGCCCCACATTGGTGACTCCAGCTGAATACCAACCTTGCCCAACACACTAATAATTCACGCAGGAACAAATCGAAGTAAAAAACAACTTTTTGCTGAGATGAATTTACATGAGAATGTCTTTTGCGTTGCACTTCCTTGTTGCTTTTGATTTGGACATCCCCGAGACCAGGGATGTCGAACTCATTTTACTCGCAGGCCAATTTGGAGTTAGGCCTTCCCTCGGAGGGCCGTTATGATAGTGAAACCACAAAATTATCACTTGTACACAACAAATTAATAGATTACTAGTTTTGAAATCAGTCAAGTCAATTTTAATACTGTAGTTTGTTCAATTATTGTTCAAGTGAGTGTAAACAGGGTAACAAAATTATTGCCAAATCTCAACGTTATTTATTACACATTTCGGTACAGATTTTAGCAAGTTGACACCCATGATTTGGTTTCGCCGGCCACATAAAATGACCTGGCGGGCCTTGTGTTTGACACCTGTGCTCTAGACGTTGGCGGTGGCCAATGGTCCGAAGCGCCACCCCTGATTGAAAATGCATTGGATTTGAATTCAATTTTGCATAGATGTGTTCCTGTTGGCCAGTGAGCATGTAAAGTGGCTCATTTCAAATGTTTTCATCATCTAATAGATTGTATCTTACTGTCATGTGTACAGGTTATCTTAAAGCTGGTTGGTCATCATTATGGGGGAACTATTCAGGAGTGAAGAGATGACACTGGCCCAGCTGTTTCTCCAGTCGGAGGCAGCATACTGCTGTGTCAGTGAACTGGGAGAACTTGGCATGGTCCAGTTTAGAGATGTGAGTAAGAATGCTATTGTTAAATGTGACCTTTTTTTTTTTTTCTTATCCGTATCTTCCCACAACACTTGTTTGTTCCAAAATGAAAAGCATTCCAAACTACTGACGGTCCTGTTGGTGGATGTGACGTCGATTTCTTCTTGCTTCACAAAGACGTTTGTTTCTGTTGCCAGCTCAATCCGGACGTGAATGTGTTCCAGCGAAAGTTTGTGAATGAAGTGCGGAGATGTGAGGAGATGGATCGAAAATTAAGTGAGTAATTGAGAACATGAACATTGGAAATTGAAATTTGGATGCGTCATAAATTTGCTTTGAATGAGGCTCTAAGATGAATCTGAACACGCACGCACGCACGCACGCACGCACGCACGCACGCACGCACGCACACACACACACACACACACACACACACACACACACACACACACAACTGCTGTAAAATGTTCCTTCACTGTTTGGAACAGGGTTTGTGGAGAAGGAGATCAAGAAAGCCAATATCCCAACTATTGACACTGGAGAAAATCCTGAGGTGCCTTTTCCAAGGGATATGATCGATTTGGAGGTAAAATAACTTGATATGGGCATTATTTAAATAAAATCAGGTCCAAATAATGTTAAGGGGTTTGTAGTGATGGTGGCAAAAGTGAAGGATGAATTAAAAAAAAAAAAAATAAAGGATTTATTTTCATCAACACAAAAAGACAACTCAACATACATGGAAAAGTCCCAAACACTAAAACAACAATCCCAAAAATCAAAATGGCAAAGAAATACAAGCAACCAAAAACATTCACCATAACAGGAAACATGACAAAACTGCAAACGCGCTTCGCAGCGACGTCAATGATCTAACAAAGGCTCAAAGGAAGCAGGGAATAGAAACAAATACAAATTGATGAGACGAAGAGGGAGATTTGAACAAGACATGTGCAGCCAGAGGGAGCTGATTGGTCCACGCAAGGAGCAGGGCTGACAAGAAAAAGTGGTGACAAAAGCCTGACGGGGAGACATAACGATAAAAAAGATAGATAGGAGAAACAAGATTCACCATCTCTTGTGGTGATTGAAATCATGAAACAAAATAATCCTTAAGTGCCATCTTAAAGTCTTTAACCAATATTAACATTTTTTGAGAAGTTTTGTAAAATCAAACAAACTAAGCATAAATGAATAAATGACACATTTGGAATGAGACAAAATGTTGCGCTTTCGGGTGATATTTTCGGACAAACCTAGAATTTAGAGTCTGTTTTGCTTTTCAGGCTACCTTTGAGAAATTGGAGAATGAATTGAAGGAGATCAAACTTAAAGTCTTTAACCAATAGAAACATTTTTTTGAGAAGTCTTGTAAAATCAAACAAATTAAGCATAAATGAATAAATGACACATTTGGAATGAGGCAAAATTTTGCGCTTTCGGGTGATATTTTCAGACAAACCTAGAATTTAGAGTCTGTTTTGCTTTGCAGGCCACCTTTGAGAAATTGGAGAATGAATTGAAGGAGATCAACACCAACCAGGAAGCTCTGAAGAAGAACTTCCTGGAGCTGACGGAGCTCAAACACATTCTTCGTCGAACGCAGCAGTTCTTTGATGAGGTTTTGACCCTTTTTTTGGCTCTCCAGGTGGACTGAACCAGATGATTCTGAGATTTCATGAATTCAAAAGCTCTTCCTTATCTTTTTGTCAGATGGAAGATCCCAACTTGTTGGAAGAGTCGTCAGCCCTGATGGAGGGCAACGAGGGGGGAAGAGGGGCTCCGCTCCGACTGGGGTAAATTCTGCTTTTGAAATATTTGTGAAGGCTAACATTGATCTCGAAACATGCATGTAAAACAAATCCAAATCGAAAGAAAGATTTTATTCAATGAATGACACAAGATTGTTCACCAATTTGTGTCTTGTGATGTCTAAAAATTCTTATCACAGAACACAGACAAAAATGTAATACAGTACTCAACATACATGTTTTTCTATTATTCCAAATACTTACTTATTATTATTATTGTTGTTGTTGTAAATATCATTATTTTAATATTATTATTGTGACAAGTCATTAATACGCGAAAGCAATAGACAGTCTCATAAATATCCTGCAAATTCATATTATTTATTTAGTGGTCAAATTAAACGTCATTTATTTATTTATTTTTTAAAATCAGTCTGATTCTGATATCCTTCCATGTATGAGAGCTTTTTAAAATCATAATATAGTGCCGAAATGAGAAAAAAAAAAAAACAAAAAAACAGCTCGAATGAGCAGAAACTACTTGGGTTGCTTTTTGTGCAGATTTGTGGCCGGTGTGATCAGTCGAGAGAGGATTCCAACTTTTGAGAGAATGCTGTGGCGGGTGTGCCGTGGTAATGTTTTCTTGCGGAAAGCTGAGATCGAAGACCCGCTGGAGGACCCCACTACAGTCAGTACTTAAACCTACAGTACAATGATAAAAATGACACAACATGGCCTTTTTTTTTTTTTTTTTTGTGGGTGGTCATAAAGGATTAGAAGGTTTTAAAGGAGCATTATTCTTTCCAACAGGGAGACCAAGTCCACAAATCAGTCTTCATCATTTTCTTCCAAGGTGATCAGTTGAAGAACAGGGTGAAGAAGATCTGCGAGGGGTGGGTGTCTTAAACCATTTATTTTGACACGCAATGACTATTTGAGGGGACTATTTTGTGACTTTTTTATGAATATGGTGTAGCAGGCTAAACTAAAACTTTTTTTCCCCTACAATTTAAAAGGAAACCGTTTTTTTTATAGTTTGTCTGCAACAGTATTTTGTCAAAAGTACCCCAAGGATCAAGAATTATAGCCCCCCCCCCCCCCCAAAGTATGCTATTTGTTACCATGGTGACTGGTGGTGGAGTCAGGGTGTTGCGATTTTGTGAGAAGCTGGTTTTTGAGCAGCCCAGGGTTTATAATAGTTTGGTTTTTTTTTTTTCATTTTAGTCATTTTATATTTTCGTTTTAATTAAAAAAATCTGTTAGTTTTTAGTTAGTTATTCAAGTATTTTTATTTATTTTTTTATTTTTTATTTTTCTCAGAATCGCTTCGTTTTCATTTTTATTAGTTTTAGTATTAGTTTTTTAACATATGGAGGATTGGTTGGGAGTAAGATTAGCAAAAAAAGTTTTAAGTAGTTTAAGTTTAATTCAGTAACATAAGCTAGAATTCTCAAACGACAATGTTTGACTTTCCTTCTTCATACATCGATTCCGAAATAAATACGTTTAAAATGAATCCCGAAAGCTCATATATGATATTAATTCTCAAAAGATGGAAGCAAAGGATACTTTCACAATAATTATCGTTTGTTTTAAAACTGTAAGATGAAGGTCCAGTTTTCTTTTTTTTAAAGCATTTAAATTTTCATTTTGTGAATGATTTTTTTTTTTCAATTTTAGTTATTTTGTTAATTTTCGTTAACTAGAGGCAAGACCTCATATGGATGAAGTCAGTGTATTTTCACATGCCGAACTGCAATTGGCTGCTTAGCTTTTGTCACTCGCAAATAAAAAAATCTCAGACACATTTTTGAAGATCGACATTGAGTTTACTTAAATTTCACACTTTATGTGTGCAGCCACTGCAGAGACCCAACTTTTTGTGATACAAACAATTTAAAAGTACATTTTCCAAAAGCTGCCTCCTTTAACATCACTGATATGAGTTAACTGAGTTGCTTGGTGTTTTTTTTTTTCAGGTTCCGTGCCTCTCTCTACCCTTGTCCAGAGACTCCACAAGAGAGGAAAGAGATGTTGGCTGGTGTCAACAGCCGTATTGACGATCTCCAAATGGTACCTTTTCCTTCACACTCTCATCTACAATGGCAGCTAGTACAGCACAAACTTCACCGCACTTTATAAATAAACAAAAACATACAATAGAAAGAGGAACAATAATAACACAACACAATGACATTATATATTATGTCCCACCTCTAGCATGAAACATCAATCTGTTTGATGCAGACACAAAGGGGCTGATAACTGCAATGCACAGCATTTTTTTTTTTTTTTTAACCGGATCTCCAATACATCCATCCATCCATTTTCAACATCGCTTATTTTGAACAAATTCGTGGGAGGGTGCTGGAGCCAACCCCAGACGACCCTGAACTGACCGCCAGCCAGTTGCGGGCCACAACCATTCACACCCACATTTACACCATCACTGAGTGGGAACCGATCCCACACTGCCATATCCAATACAATGGACTGTAAACTTAAAACTAAATACCTCGGTCCGCTCTTGATTCCATATCGATCCATCCATCCATTTTGTAGCTTAGCCTCACGAGGGTCACGGGCATGCTGGAGCCTATCCCAGCTGGATTCGGGCAGTAGGCAGGGTACACCCTGATGAACTGGTTGCCAGCCAGTCACGGGGCACACAGAGACAAACAAAAATTTGTGCTCACAATCACACATTGGGACAATTTAGAGTGTCCCATTAGCCTGCCGCGCATGTTTTTGGAATGTGGGAGGAAACCGGAGTACCCGGAGAAAACCCATACAGGCACGGGGAAAACATGCAAACTCCACACAGGAAGGCTGGAGCCGGAATCGAACCCTGCACTTCTGCACTCTGAGGCGGCCATGCTAGCTAGTAGCCCACCGTGCTGCCCTTGCTTCCATATGCGAACCAAAATTTTGAGAAATTGTATGAGTGGAATAAGGCTAACTAACTAACGGAGCCTCAGGCAGATTGACTAACAATGACCCAATAAACCAAGCAAGTCTCAAACAAAACATAACCTCTTGCCTTGGTAGAAGAATTGTGCAAAACAGGTCAATAAAAATAACAAAGAGACAGTCAGTTCCGTTATTTGGCATAAAATAAACGATCGCTATACAAAGTATAAGGAACATTCAGTAATACTTTGAAAGGGGCTTTCTTATTCTTTGGTGCAAAGTTAACTTCAAAACAACTTGGTGCACAACAGATAATTTGTCTTCAGGCTCCTGCATGCTGCTTACCCCATCCAATAAAAAAAAAAGAAAAAAAAAGAAAAACACAGAATCCATTGTGTCAACGGGTCTTTTTTTTGTGCTGAGGGTCTTATCTGCAAAAGAGCTTTGTCCGGTATCAAAAAGTTCTGCTGCCCAGCGATTGCCCTTATTTAGTCAAGGGGAAAAAAAGCCGGGGGTTCTGCTTGAGTGTCTGCACTCGTGTAAGCGTGCCAAAATAAAATAGATTACACTCATACAATAGCACATTTGGCTCAGCTTTTCAAACAACCTAATAATTTGCCCGAACCATCAACTCAGTCTGTGAGTCACTATGGATCAAAACAGGAAGAGCCATTGATAAAAATGCACACAGCTAAACATGGAATCTCATGGCTCTGAAAAAGTTGACTTTGATGACACCCGACTCACCATTACTCCATCCGGTGACATGAGGACAACATCCATTAAGATCTCATTCTTTCTCTTGCCTACGCAGGTGCTGAACCAGACCGAAGACCACCGTCAGCGAGTCTTGCAGGCCGCCTCAAAGACAATGCGGGTTTGGTTCATCAAGGTTCGCAAGATGAAAGCCATCTACCACACTCTGAACCTGTGTAACATCGACGTGACTCAGAAATGTCTCATCGCTGAAGTGTGGTGTCCAGTCTCAGATCTGGACTCAATCCAGTTTGCCCTACGGAGAGGAACGGTGAGTTTTTGTTTGGTCATGGGGAAGTTATATCTTACCTCAACCTGCCCACAAGGTTTTTGCAATGAATGAAAATTAATGAAATAACTACATCTATAATTGAAATAAAAATGAGCGTGTGTCAAGTTCTGGACTGAACTGAATAAGGTTTTTGGATTCCAGAAATGCAGGCTTAAAATATTTATTTCCAGAAAAGCGTACCGACAAAGTACAAGTAGAAATCACTGGTCACAAGGAGCCAGGAGAAACAAAAGCGCTTGCAAAAGGAAAGGTACTAGGCATCACCAAGAATAAACAAACAAAATGTCAAAAGGCGAACCTGAAGATCAAGAACAACAGTAAAAAATACAAATACTTATAAACTGGAATCTATAAAGAGCGAGTATGGAGAGTATCAAGAGTTCTTGAAAACAACACTTGAAGCGCTTACAGCAAGCAAGGTCAATAATCTGACAAGACTCGGTAGTTTGGCAGTCCTTAAATTCATGACAGGCTTGATTAGTAAACGCGGAACAGGTGGGCCTGCTGGAGGGAAACACCCTCCACTCCACCTGGGGCTGAAAATGAAACAACCAGACAGACATGACAGTGTGATTCTAAAACTAGACGATACTAACCAAAACTACACTTTTATCCTTTGTATTAGGTTTTGTGAATACATAAGCTCTTGGGGTTTATTTTAAATGTACTTTTTTAGTTATTACTGCAGTGTCATACAGAAGGAGGAAGGTCGACCAGTCATTTGGGAATTGTAATTGACTTACTTTACTACTTTGCAATACTTAATTACCTTTGTTTTGTTTGTTTTTTTAAATCTAATTGTAAAGTAATAATTACAGCTGACTTAATTTATCCCTCTGTGGACCCAAAAGCGAAGAAGAAAATCAAAACAGTTTGACCTCTCTCCTCTTCGGACACACACAACCTGTATGACTCTCAGCAACGAGTTGACGCAACAATGATGGAATTAAAATAATAATAATAAAACAAACATAATAAAGACTAACTACACACACAAAAAAAAAAATCGAAGCAATTATAAGTATTTGTCACAATGATAGTCAGGAGACAATAATATGTCTGGTGAATGTATGTGAAACTTTTTAAAAAATTTAAAAAATTACAGTGTTCGCTTTGTGGAAGAAAATTTGTTCTCTATAGTATTCTAGTTAGAGGCAAAGACAGGTTGGCTTTTGTACACCCAATGAGAAAAATGTTCACCCATGCTTCCTATTCAAAAGTGTGTCGCCTGATTCCTTTGTGTGCAGTCCCTGGTTTAGAGCTGGGCTACATTTTTTCTCTGCGAAGAGGTTCTTTTAATCATGACAGCTTGCTAATAAATTGACATTTTGTTTTCTCACAATGCAAAGCGAATTTGTGTTGCATAGCACATTGATTCACATTATGGGGGTCAAATGTTTCTTCAAATCCAATCGGTTCCTCCTGGGCGTTTGCCTCAAACGACTAATATAGTTAATTGTTGCCTTAAGTTAGAGTTTAATTCATTCTGTGACCATGATCGTACCTAAAAATACTCATCCATCAAATCACATTTCCCCATTGAAATGAATAGAAATGCCATTAATCTGTTCTGCCCCCCCTTCAAAAGAATATCATGTGTTTTTAATAAGGAAACTAGCAATCGATAATATTACCCTTTATAAAAACTATTTAATAATATAATTGAACAGAATGTAAAAAAAAACCCCACACCTTCTTAATTGATTGATTGTGCTGCTCCTTTTGGTGTGACCACTTTGGCCAACGGGAAGCAGTATATATAGTACAATGATACAGACAAATGAAGAACAATCACCACTACTCTCAGAAACTCAATAAGTTGCAATATTATTAGTTTTCATAGAGGACAGAGAATAAATGATATGCCTGTGAGTCATGTGATATTGTCCATCTACATGTTTCACTCCACCATTTTTGTTGAGTTACCTATTTTCGAAAGGGTTATAACACCGTGACTATCATTACTGAGCTTTAGCATAACTATCGATGCATATTGCTAATTGTTAGCATTTTAAATTATGTGTTCACATTAAGCTAGAGGCGGCATTCTTATGGCAAAGTTTCTTGGTTGTTTGGGATATGAAACTGGAATGAATTACTGACAATATTCAGTTCAGAAGCAGTTTTCCTTTGTCTATGCGCAACTGTTTATTTGGTCAGCTTAATACTCATTAAAGACAAGTCGCAGTGTTACACGTTCATCTTTTGTGTGGATTTCACAGGAACGAAGCGGTTCAACTGTGCCGTCAATCCTCAACAGAATGCAGACCAAGCAGACTCCGCCCACTTTTAACAAGACCAATAAGTTCACCTCCGGTTTTCAGAACATTGTGGATGCATACGGCATTGGAAATTACAGGGAAATCAATCCAGGTAGTATAATTTGGAAGAGACCAACCAACACACACACACACACACACACACACACACACACACACACACACACACACACACGCACACACGCGCACAAACACGCACACACACACACACACACATGAACAAGTGTGCTAACTTTTTTTTTTCAACTTAATGGTTTTGTTTTTCAATCCTATTACATTTCTGTATGGGTGCGGTGGATTTCGAATCATCGAATAAATATTAGGAATTTTTTCTTTTTCCACACCTCTGCAGCTCAATACACCATCATCACCTTCCCTTTCCTGTTTGCTGTCATGTTTGGTGACATGGGTCATGGCCTTCTAATGACCTGCGCTGCTCTCTATTTAGTCATCCGAGAAAGTCGCCTCCTTGCCCAGAAGACTGACAATGAGGTACTGGCACAAATAAGAAGAAACATTCTTATTTTTTTATTTTTATTTTTTTTGTGCTTGTATATTCCTCGTGATGGGGATGTTGACGTTGATGAATCGATACAGTAAGACATGACTTCACCTCTGTCTATCTCCTATTTCCCCACAGATGTTCAATATGGTGTTTGCTGGTCGCTACATCATATTGCTGATGGGGATCTTCTCCGTCTACACGGGCATCATTTATAATGATTGCTTCTCCAAATCACTGAACATGTTTGGCTCTGGATGGAGTGTGAGGCCAATGTTTGGGCCCAAAGGCGCCAACTGGTCGTAAGTCACCGCATTCTGCGTGGACATTGATTTTATTTAACCCATTCAGGGACAGCGGTTCCTACAGTGGACAGCTGATCATATGATCAGGTTACAGGGTGCACGAAAGGGTTAATGTTGTCATATAATTTTTATTGTAGGCTTATGTTTTTGTTTTTTAAGAGCGCTCCCGTGTGTATTTTTGTAAAGACAAAAGTCAGTGACAAGAACCGGTTTTAACAGCACCCAGTACATTGGAGCAAGCGTACAAGTGTAGCAGTAGAATAACTGAGATTGTCTCTTATTTAGCACAGTAAAAAAAATCTAGACTGGTGTCCTTCAAAAGGTATTGTGAAATGGCAAAGGGGAATGTAGCAGGGTGTGGTTGATGGTGGTGAGGTACGGCGGGTGGAGGCTTTCTCTTGAAAAAAAACGGCAAGAGGACTGACAAAACTCTAGCTTGCTGCTGAATCCACGTTAGTTTAAATCGGTGATGTCAAACATACGGCCCGCAGGCCGGAACCGGCCCCTAAGGAGGTTCGATTAGGGCCGCAGGATCATTTAAAAGTGAAAAAATGCATAAAACACACGGAATTAATATTTTTAATAAGGTGCAATGTATGGAGTATCCGCTAGGGGACACACTGTTCTGATCAGAGTGGAAGACAACATTTTTTGATCAGAGAAGAAGACAACAGCAGCCTCAGTCTGTCACTGAGACAGACCCGACACAGCAGACGCAGTCAAGGACATGTAAATACTTTATTCTTTACACATTAAATAGCACTCTCCTTGGTTTGTAAGGTGTAGGCAGGGATTAAATTTAAATTTTATATGCACATATGTAAATGGTTTTACAATTCCTTTCTTTATAAATCTCGTTTCATCCTAAAATGCATTACGATATATTTCAATACCAATTACTTGTTAAAGTTTTGTGCCTTTGTACAATCAGTGGGATCAGTTGCAATGCATATGTGTGAATGATAAAAGTACATTGCACATTTGTCTAAGGAAATCTAAGGTGCTTCATGAAATGTTTTGAAAAAGATGTTCATTAAATTTCAACATATTCCGAATGTTCTTGTGCTTCTTTAGACCAAAACAAAGGAAAGACCTTTTATTTTGGTTATTTTTAGCAGAGTATGGTATAATTTTAATGATCCGGCCCACTTGACATCGACCGAGGCCGTATTTGGCCCACAATGTGAAATGAGCTTGACACCCCTGGTTTAAATGATCAGGTAGGCTGTGGAGCAAATCTCAGTGAGGAGACAATATTGTCTCTCGAACAAGATACCAGACTAAAGGTGAAAGAGATAGAGTTTAGCAGTCAATTGTCTCCAAAATGTGGAGTACAATTTTTGTTTCAGCAAAGAATTGCCTTATCTGGAGACATTTTAGCAAAGCAGTTTAAAACGTCTGTTAAGGCAGCCAGTCCCGTTCAACTTTATTATTTCTTTTTTTTTGTATTATCTGTATAATCTTTTTAATTGTGTATTTTACACCACGTAAAATATTTTAAGTCCGCTTTGCGAGAAGTTATCTCACATAATAATCATGGCATGCAGCTCTCATTAGCCGCGATGTTAGCATACTCCCCTTTTTCACCTCCATTACGATTGGATGCCTTTAGAGAAGCTCTTGAAAAAAAACAACTGTATACTGCACCCGAAAGAGCATGTTTATACCCATATTACATGACGAGAACTTGCTCTCTTAAACCACAACAATAAATATGAAGAGACACGCTCCTTTTGAGCTTCCGTCGTCGACGATGCTAAGCTAATGTTCATGCTTTCCATTCGTTTTTTTCCCCACAAATTATTTTAGGGAAGCAAAACTAAACAAACAAAAAAAAAAAACCAACAATAATATATTGGTAATGTATTCCTGTCTTGCTGATGTGATCCAGGTTTGAAACGCTTGAAGGAAACGCCGTGCTACAGTTGGACCCTGCAATTCCTGGTGTGTTCAATGGACCTTATCCTCTTGGAATTGACCCGGTAAAGCAATCAACGAAACCCCCTCACCCCAAAAAAATGACTAACCTGTTTTCCTGTCATTGAAAATAGTGAGTAAAATGATACAGTTTAGTTTCCTGCTCTTCTCTGTGTAGATATGGAACATTGCCACCAACAAGCTGACGTTCCTCAACTCATTTAAAATGAAGATGTCTGTTATCCTCGGTGTAATCCACATGATATTTGGAGTCTCTCTCAGTCTTTTCAACCATCTGTAAGTACTGCTGCCAGAACCACTGCTTTATTACTTTCACCAGTCTTTGTTTTGTTCATTGGCAGGATTATGTCAAATTTATACCAACAAATATCCCTTATGAGTAATCATTTTATGTTATACTTGGTATACTGTTTTGAGTTTCTTTGTGTTTTCTTTCAATTCAAAGACCCCAAGATTAATTAATCGTGTTGAGGTTCCCAAAACCCTTATGTAGTTTTGTTTTTCTCAGCAGAGATGTTGGGTAAACCGAGATAATCACAAATTAAGACCCTGGAGTTCAGTTACATCGAGTTAAATTTGCTTCATTCACATGTGGCGATGATTGTGATAACAAAAGAAAAACGTCTCATGTACTGTAAGATTACAAACACAAAGTGCATCGAGTTCTTAAAAAAAAAAAAAATCACGATTTAATGAAAATAGGTATGAATAGCCACATTCATATGTATTAAATTTAATAAAAAGATTTAATACAAATAATTTGATTTAATAAAAAGGAACCTCTGCCTGATAATTCCAAATCGATGCCTTCAGATCATGTTTTCATACTGCTTGGTATAGACGGGCATTTTTATTTTATTTTTTTGCAAAAACTGCAGGACCGGAAGTACCGTATTTTTGGCACTATAAGGCACTTCGGATCATAAGGCGCACCTTCAATGAACGGCCTATTTTAAAACTGTTTTCATATATAGGGTGCACTGCATTATATAAGGCGCAAAGAATCGAATCTACAATAGTGGCTGCGGTTGCGCTATGCATCCACTAGATGGTGCGACACTAAAGGGAATACAATATAATACAATAAATATATTGCTTAAACCCATGCACTTTTAAAAAAAAACCTTAAAAGTAACACGCCACACATTGCCATTTATGTATAGTTCTTGCCATAGTGCATGCTGCTGATTGCACAAATTGCCTTTGTTACAATGTTGATGAAAAAAAAAAAACAAATGTTTTTCACACAGGGCTTCCCTCGTTGCACAGGCTTTTAAAAGTAATATATCTAACATGGCAGGTACTTCAAGAAACCTCTGAACATCTTCCTGGGCTTCATTCCCGAGATTGTCTTCATGTCCAGCTTGTTTGGTTACCTCGTCCTGCTGGTTTTCTACAAGTGGACAGCTTACGATGCATTCACCTCAAAAGACGCACCCAGCCTGCTCATCCACTTTATCAATATGTGCCTCTTCAATTACAGTGATCCCACAACCAAATCCCTCTACGCGGGACAGGTGCTCCTTCCTGCGTCCTCTTCTTCTCCCTGTTTTATTAATATTTTTTCTATCCGACCCACACATACACAAACTCACACTAATCACAGTAGATCACGTTGCGGAGACAAACATTTATCAAAAATAACCACACCACCACAAAATTGGAAAGTTGCGTCTCATTAACATCTACTTGACATCATGATAAAACGAGCCTTGTGCAAACACCACAACTAGTCAGCCACACGGTTTAACATTTCTCTGTTCGAATCTATAGATGGGGATCCAGGTTTTGTTGGTGCTCATTGCCCTTGCATGTGTACCCTGTATGCTGGTTGTGAAAACTATGGTGCTTCGGCGTCAGCACCTGTGGAAAAAGCACCTGGTATGTCAATTTCACCCTGCCTACAAACTCGAAACACTCTTCCAACTATTCTCCTTTGCAATATAACCTTTTTTTTTTGTTGCTTCTATTCTGTCTTCCAGTGTACGTTGTATTGTGTACTGCGCTTGGTTGTTTTGCCATGAAATGACATAATGCTTAAAGCTTGCCTTAAAAGCGCTCTGAAAATCTGGAGACCAAGCAGTCTGAGGGCACCCTAAAAACAGATGATCTCAATTCTTCAGATTAGATCCACTAGATGTGTTGAACCTCCAAGAAGTAGTTTTCACCTCAAATAAATGCAATATTAGATATAGAATATATCAAAGCTGCAGAAAGGGTCAAGAGCAATGGAATGGTAACTAAACCTTAATCGAGTTTCAGAGCTACCTATTTTCCAGATTATAAATCGCTCCTGAGTACAACTCGCACCAGCCATAACATGCGTAATCAAGAAAAAAAAACATATATAAGTCGCACTGGAGTATAAGTCGCATTTTTAGGGGAAATTTATTTGATAAAATCCAACACCAAGAACAGACATGTCATCTCGAAAGCCAAATAAAAATAGAGAACAGGCTGAATAATTGTACGATAAGATACAATTCATGATGCAGAAACAACGAACGGAGAATGTGCCTGGTATGTTCACCTAACATATTAATTCAGATAACTATAGTACAAAGAACATGCTAATAAGTTTACCAAACCATCAGTGTCACTACACTCGCCTACGTCAGAGTTATCGTCAGTTACCGGCAATGTGGAAGGTATCAACACAGGCCTAGAGCGCCCTCTTGTGGTTTAATGTGAAAATAACGAAATGATATCATGTTTTAATCATTTCACACATAGGTCGCTCCAGAGTATAAATCGCACCCAAGGGCCAAACTATGAAAAAAAACTACGATTTATAGTCTGGAAAATACGGTACACTTGTATTTATATTTTTTAAAGTTTCTGTCTACATTTCACAAATAGGAGGTTCAAACTCCAAAAAGAGGCTTAACTGAATCAGTGAGCGGACTTGTGTTATTAAAAAGCGATTGATTATCATTCACTAAAATGTGATACTGAAAATCTATTGTCCGCTAAGATTTTTTGGTAATACTACTTTGTCAGTGTTACACTTCGAGAATATAGTTCACTTGGAAACAAAACACTTCGATATCTGTTTTAGGGTGCCATGTTTACTTGACCAGCTATGTACAGCGTGCCAACTAAGGCTTGCTTTAAGCCCGACAAAGCTCTTGTGACTTTTGTATCTAGTCACAGAAGATGCAAGAAACCCCTGCAGAGAATCTAGAGCAATCTTTAGAGCGAACAGGCGTGTCCTCATCATGCACCGGACTCACCCAACAGGGCACGCAGAAGTTCGGAGGGGTGCGGGTGGGCAACGGGCCCACGGAGGATGAGGCTGGCATCATGGACCACGACCAGCTCTCTCAACACTCAGAGGAGGGAGATGAGGTGAGCGCATGAAATCACTTTTCACAGTCTTGACAGTGTGATTCAGTCTCTCAGTTTTAAAATCGTAATATGATTTTAAAATGTATTATATATTGAGGAGATTAATTTGTCTGTACCTGTTTAACTTGTGGCAACAATTATACAGTGGAATCTCGACAGACTAATTGAGGGACGGGCTGTTGTCCGTTTCACTGAAGAACTTTTTTTTTTACTTTCTAATACCACCCAATTCAGTATGAAATTGATTTGTGTTTTTTTTCTGTCACCGAAAAATGCCCAGAACAGTACAAATATAAATAGGTCGATACGACATGCTCCTTGATAAACTACTTGCCTTTGCAAATGCTAAGCTAACGTCTCTGTTCCATTGCATTCGAAGGGACTCTCTCCCCTGCCAAAATGGCTGCCACATTGATGTGCTTTTTAGCCTGCGCTAGTCTACTGTAAAGTCTATCGCTGACGAGAGAGCAGAACAAGCCGGAAACAATATGACCAGTCTCTGTCCATTGCTGGAGCCACAATGCCATTTACTGGCATTGTGGCGAATTGCGGTTAATTCTGGAACAGAATTTGGAGGCACTGTACAAAGCAACGCTTTTAGTGGACTGGACACAATTTTCCGTCTGTTGAATCTGGCATCCATTGGTTCCGGCTCATTGGAATTGATGTTCCACTGTTTTATATTGTAATAATATTAGTTTTAAAGAAATGCATTGCTTCGATTGTTTGGGTTACGGGTAGACAACCCGTGACCTCCGTCATCCTTCTGCTGTGGTTCTCTGTCTTTATAAATAATGAGTACCGGTATTCAATTCAAATTTGATTTGATTGTAGCATGTTGATTCTTCAAACATTATTCTAAATTTGAAGAGCGTGGTGAGCTTGCAATGTTTACTTGCTCAGAATATGTACCACTCACAACTGTCTAAAACCTGGTGCCATTTTTTTTTAGCTATTTGACCCCCTCTAGGTAAACCATTGATAAATCCAAGAAAAAAAATGTTTCAGAAGAAACCAGAACGTTTCATGTCGCATCCTATGGGAATAACAGTGGACCACCATATACTGGTGGTTCGGCACCCCACGGATTTGGATATTCACGGATTAAAAAAAAACAAAAAACATGAAAACGTTTTAAAAATATTTTTCAAATCTTGTAAGAGTTTTCGATATTTACTCCCCGTTTTCCATTTTTTGGTTTAAAAAAAAATATATATATTTGCCGTATTTTCCGCATCATAAGTCACACCCAAAAGCATTCAATTTTCTCAAAAGCCAACAGTGCGCCTTATAATCAATCCGATGCGCCTTATATATGGATCAATATTCTGATTTCTTGGACGTAGTATTTCAAATGTTCTTTAAAGCGCTTTGTTACAGCTGCAGCGGTTGTGAAGGCTCTATATAAATGAAGCTGTATTGTATTGTATTCCCTTTAGCGTAGTCTCCATCTAGTGGATGCATAACGCAACCGAAGCCAGTATTGTAGGTTCTATTCTATGCGCCTTATAATGCGGTGCGCCCTATATATGAAAACAGTTTTTCAATAGGCCATTCATTGAGGGTGCGCCTTATACTCCGAAGCGTCTTATAGTGCGGAAAATACGGTATTTTTTTTTTCAAAAGCATTTCAGTGGGCGTCATTTATACGCAGATTTTCATTGTTCGTGGACTAGCCCAGTCTCTATCCCACCACAAACAGTTTGAGTCCATCACATACTAAAAACAAACATTGCTGAGGCCTCACAGATGACAACTTGCAATCGTGTGTTAAGTTGAACGTGCCATCTTACTACCCAGATGTGCTGACGCTGTGAGCTGACGTTCGGGAACAACATTCACATTAACCAGGTTAAATACAGTATTTGAATTGGCTATTCTTTTGAAAATATATATTTGACAAAAAATGAAATAGTTGGCCTGGTGGTCCGGTGGTTAGCGCGTTGACCTCACAGTACAGAGGTACCGGGTTCAATTCCAGCTCCGGCCTCCCTGTGTGGAGTTTGCATGTTCCCCCCAGGCCTGCGTCAGTTATATTACTCAAAATTAACAGTCCTCATACTTAACTATAATTATTGATTACTCTACCCACCTCTGCAACGTTGTGTGTTGTGCACGACTACCGCACAGTTGAAAGGTAGTTTATTTCAATTTTAATTTCATAATTCACTTTTATTTATTTACAACTCCTGTCAATCAAATGATTGTGAAATTGATAGAATATTCAGTTGATATTTCCAGACATTAAAGTACTGTATACAGATTATAACGTTCTCTCCCGGGGAGTAGGAGGAGATGGTGCAACCAGTGCTTTCATATTGAAAGGGAGGCCTGTGATGGACTAGAGCAGATAAGAGTCGGATTTTCCATTTCAGAAACATAAACACTGAGGTGTTTTTCATGAGAACCAGGCAATGGAATTTCTGAAAATACCACCCAGTTGACTCAGAGGTTTGGTGTCCCCCGGCGCTGATGCATACTACATCTGAGTGTTTGTGTTGTGATAACATATTGCATAACTGTGATTTAACAAGACGACATTCATCCCAATTTTTCCAAGGCAGCGATAGTCCATGTAGACATGCTTATCAACATGGGAAAGAGGAGATTAAGGATTTTAATATTGCCTTAAATTGCAATTTAGTCAGTCAGTCAAAAATATCCGACTGGCAAACACTCCTAATATTACATAAAACCCAGGGGCTAGTTCCTAAATGCATTTTATGAGCTTTACTCACTGATCTGTAACTGGTGCTCACTTTCTACTTCAAATCTCCACTCACAAATAAAATGCGTGAATTCAAATTGATAAATGTAAACGATTTCCTGCACTTGTCTTTATATTCACATTGGGCAATACACAAGGAGTTTTGTTTGGACTTGATTATGATGTGATTGTCCGGTTGGTGGGACGTTAGCTTTAGTGAAATATTTCATCTTTAACCCTTTTCGGGGACAGCGCTTACTACAGTGGACACCTTATCGTATTATCAGGTTACAGGGTGGTCCATGAATGGGTTAAACTTGAACCAAAAGACAGTCTTAACATGCACCTCAGATTGAGTTATGGCGTCACGATTGTTATCTGTATTCATAGCTAGAGTTCAGTGATTATGAATTATGTAAAATAACGTGAAAAGCTACAACGGATTAGCAACCATTAGTTACCAAAATCTGACACTAATCTTTCACCTTTGCTTACTTTCAAGCATGCAGAGGAAGAGCCGGTAAGAGACTGTGTCATATTTCAGCATGCTTGGATGCTGCTGTCTTGCGGATCTGTGTTTTTATGTTATGTTTTTTTTTTTTTTGTTGTTTTTTTAAAGCATGCCTGCAACCCTCATGTGGATGAAGCACTTCAGATAATTCCGTTAAAAGGGCAATATTGTTTGTAACTTTGTACTGTATATTGTCAGCATAACTATGAAAGTTAAAGCGTGATGTGATGTCATCATTAAGAGACAGCTTGAACAAAAAAAATAAATAATTGGGTCTTGAGGGACACCGCGCTTCTCAAAGCTCACTATTAAAAGATGCAATTATACTGACTAAAAAAATTTCTGTCAAACAACATTCAAGTCCATTTAAAAAAAAAAAACCTCTCTCTGAGAATCCAACGAAAATGTGCATTCCGTCTGACAAATTTGCTTGATCCACTGTGTCAAAGACTGCACTCAGGACTTATAACAGATAGCCTCTGTGCATCCATACGGAACCGGAATTTCTTGCCAACCTTGATCAGTCCAATCTTGGTCATATGATGGAATCAAAAGCCAGACAAGAATTTTTAAAATATATGACAGAAATTCATAAAATAATTCATTTGATTGAAAACAAGACTCTCGAGTTGCACTTAAAAATGGAAAGTTTAGAGCTGTCCTGTAATTAACACAAGTCATGTAGTTATTTATTTTTCTCTTATATATTGATTGATTTATAGGGTGGACAAACAGCACAACAGTTCAGAAGTTGGGGGTTCAAATCTCAACTCCGGCCTCCCTGTGTGGGATTTGCATTTTCTCTGCCAGGTTCAGAACTGAACCGAATACTGTTTTTTTTTGGATCCCAGAAATGCAGGCTCAGACAAAATGCGATAACAAAAAAATATTTATTTCCGAAAAACACACCGACAAAGTACAAGCAGAAATCGCTGGTCACAAAGACGCAGGAAAAACAATGCACAAAACAAAAAAACGCTTGCAAAAGTTAAGCTAGTAGTTGAGCGGAGAATAGAAACAAAATAAGAGCAAGACAAAATAATATCAATACAAACAAGGAACTAGAGCGCAAAAACAACTATGACAAACTGGAGGGATCTAGAAAACAACACTTGAGCACAACCGCCAAAGGAACAGGTGCGCCTGCTGGAGGGAAACGCCCTCTTCACTCCAGCTGGAGCTGGAACGAAAACAAAGACAGACATGACATTTTCCCTGTGCGTTCTTCACTTGTCTCCTCCCATATTTGAAAAACATTTTTCTCAGGTTAATTAAAGACTTTAAGTTGTTTTTAGTTGTAAATGTGAGATTGAATCAGAGTTATAATAATTTTGGACTTTTCACTATAATTATTTTTTAATCACAGTTTTGTTAGTTTTTATTAGGTTTTTTTTATGATTATTCATAAAGGCACATTAGTTTAGTTTTTATTAGTTTCAGTCTTAGTTTTAGGTAGTTTTTTTTTTTTTTATACGGCGTATTTGTGGACATACAAGATAAAAAAAAAAAGGTAGCTAAGTATTGCATAATAAAGTAAAGTACATATTCCCAAATGACGGCCAAACAATAATACCGATCCCGAGAGTTCATGTTTGAAATTAAATGACAGATGAAAGCAAAGGAATTTTCGATACAACCGTTTTTTGTGATAAAATGTAGTTTCTGTTAGTTGTCGTTTTTATAAACGCACTTTCATTTTTTATTTTGGTCAAATTTGTTTTTTTTTTTTGGTTTTAGATTAGATGTAATTATTTCTGTCATTTTCGTGAACTAGAGCTTTGGTGTAAATGGTTGTTTGTATATATGTGCCCCGTGATTGGCTGGCGACTGGTCCAGGATGTACCCGCCTCTCACCCAAAGTCAGTTGGGATAAGCTCTAGCTCGCCTGAGACCTTAGTGAGGATAAACATAATAGAAAATGGATGGATAGTTTGATTGATATTGAATTGAATTGAAATGAATACAACTTTATTGTCAAATGTGCTGATATGTTCAAATAACACTTGAGACAAAACATAAATAAATAGAAAACCTCAACCACTGTCACATTCCTTGACAGTTTCCATTTGATACAAAATGTCACGATTTTTATTCATTATATGTGCTATTTTTTACTTCTTGTCGGTTTAGGCTTTAGCTGAGCAACTTTAAATGTTCTCCCATATGGTTCGTGTCTTGTATCTCAGATACCATCAACCTTAATATGTTTTGCCATTACATCATACTGGCCGGTTTTGTTTTCTCTAGCCACTTACATTGTAGACCCTTTGAATGGGAACAATGAAGCTACTTCCATGAACTCAATTCCATGAGTCCAAGAACAAAAGACAAGCATGGAAAGAGGAAACCCGGTTAGCACCAAGCCAAATTCAGCAATCGCACCATAGAACCTAAAGCCCTGCCCACTTTATACAGGAAAGGCTTGTCTTGTTCCAGGATGGAGTGAATGGAAGGACAATACACAAAAATGTCAAGCTCTATGATCCTGCAGTCCAAACAGTCTCAAACAAGTTTGCGACAAGCCACGGTATTTGTTATAAAGCGAACCACGCAGTTGCATTTGTTTTGTCTCAGTTTATTTGTTTGTACATTAACCACTGAAATTTACATTTTGACCTTAATCCAGGAAGCTGGACAGAATTTGCACACGCCAATAAAAACTTTGAAGCAGTATCTTGTCGGCAGTGGTTAAATCTTGAATTTAGACTGAAATAAACAATGGGAGCACGTTTATTGGCAGGGTTTGTGTCATCATGAACAGTGTTGTTTAATTATGGATACAGTAATAGTAATTTAGATTGAAATAGCACCTTTCAAAGGCCCTTTACTTTTAAACAAAAATGGAAAAAGATTTTTTACTCACACTGCTCCCTTTTATGCAGTTTTTCTAATTTTCATGGGAATGTAATATCCATTTGAAATGTAGTTTATTACGATACATGAAACACATTACAAAAACTAACTAAAATCAGACAGGACCTACTTCAAAACTGCTGATGAAAACCAGGACTAGTTTTGGTGACCAGACCGGCACAATATGGGTATGGGGTCTTGTACAATCCGTGCATTTGCAGGATAAGCAATGCACATCTCGCCAGTCCATAGAATATTCTCTCCAAATTCTTTTTAATTATTCAGGTTTGTATTTTTTTTTCAAAGGTAACGTGTGTGTCTCGCTACATCTGGGATAATGGTTAACACAGCGTTTCAGAAAAAGAACATCATACCAATAGTAAAGCATGATCGTGCTCGTGTGATGGTCTGGGGTTGCTTTGCCACTTCAGGACTGAGACAACTTGCTCTGATTGATAAAACCATGAATTATGCTTTTTACTCGAAAATCCTGGGGTAGGATGTTTGGTCATAAGTTTGTGACCTGTAGCAGAAGTGCAACTGGGTTTTGCATGAAATTACCCGCTTGTGGGGAACCGCTGTGTGAAATTGGCCATGTGCTGATCTGATGGGTTTGGGTTGCGTGATGTGTGCCTGGTTAAAGAGTTGAAGGGTGTAAAAAGACAAAAATGTTCTGTTGCAATGCAATAAACTTAGATTGTGACTTTTATAAGTTATCACTAAAAGTAAAAACTTGAATGATTCAAAAAATAACGTTATTGCATGCCAATCATCTTTCTTCTCCCCCACAGTTTGACTTTGGTGATGTGGCTGTCCATCAGGCCATCCACACCATAGAGTACTGTCTGGGATGTATCTCCAACACGGCCTCTTATCTCCGTCTCTGGGCCCTCAGCTTGGCTCATGCGCGTGAGTAACAACACACACATCGCCAACTTTATCCACCGGTGCCTCGATACGATTGCTGTATGGTGGCAGTGAACTCAGCTCACTTTACAACAGGCAGCAGTTTGGCATGCATCTTCAAAAGAGAAGCCACTTCCAATTTGTTGTCTGTCAAACTAATCATTTAACAAAGAGAGTTACATTGTGTATTTCAAACAACCACATAACATTGCCTTTAAGTCTGCTCGCGTAATGCTAAAACAGATTGGGAAACATCAAAAGCGGGTTAAAGAATCGCATCTCAGATGTTTGAGCACAAATGGTGGAGCAATGTAACAATATTCACAGGCATATATTCTTTATCCGTCATAAAAAAGACAAATGATACTCTTGACAATTCTAGGAAGAGGGTCGACCGGATTTTGGTGTGTTTGTGCAACCGGCAAATTAGTGCTGTTGTTAAATCCATCTTTTTTGTCTTATAAAGCCTCTTCTTTCACAATAGCACTTCAAAGTATTCTTTGTCAGCTCGATGACCGTAATAATGCACTTTATTTTGGAGTCAGTCTGTCCTGCCTCAATCGTCTTCAGTTGGTCCAAAATGCTGCTGCTTGCCTCCTAACTGCAGCTTGTAGGAGGGAACACACAACTGAAATTCTGGCCTCGTAGGTGGGAGCAAATAACTCAAACTCTGACTTCATTTCACTGGCTCCCTGTACATTTTACAGTTCATTTAAAAATTATTGACTTCTCTCATCTTCTCCACGTGCCAGACTAGTATCTTTATATTATATTCTTGTTCCCAAGACCGTTACGTATAACTGGGGATCTTTGAGTTACAATGGTACCAACATACAAGGTTTCAAGTTTACAAACAGCAGCAAACTAATGACCGAGTTTGCGCACCAGTTTGAGAAGACATCTGTAGCACTTGAATCAAAAACTGATTATGTTTGTTTCCATGCCTTTTTATCTGTATGTATTCAGAGCTGTCAGAGGTGCTCTGGTCCATGGTCATGCACCTGGGTTTGTCCTCCCGGAGTGGTGGCGGTTTTTTCGGCCTCACAATCATCTTTGCGGCGTTCGCCACCCTCACCGTTGCCATTCTGCTCATCATGGAGGGGCTGTCTGCCTTTTTGCATGCCCTGCGTCTTCACTGGTGAGAAACACAAACACCCACAGGATATGCCCATGTTTGTTTATGATGACATTTCAGTGTACCAGCGATCTCATAAGCCAAATACAATTAATCCTACACTGACAAAAAACATGCACAGTAAGCGGTCATTTTTCAACTTTTGAACCAAGTATCTCTGCCAAAGAGCAGCTTGACAAGTACGTGAAGAATGAACGGAACATAAAACATAAAACATCCCTGACCCAAAGTGGTCTATCAAACTGTGAGCTCAAGGGACTGAAAATAACTGAGAGCTGCTTCCAGATCCATCGCGTACTTGCACCATCTCCATCATGCCGATACAACCTGCACCGTTGAGTACACACAGGTCAAACATTAGCCCATTAGAGTATATTACCAACATTGCTGGAATGTAAAGGATTGCCAGGAACACGATGACAATTAGTGATTACCACTATAAAAACTTTACAGTTGGGAAATCCTTTATTTTTTTCCTGTCACATTTTTTGGGTTGAGTGGGTAGGCATCAAAAGAAAATACTTTTTTTCCCAACTGCAGGATTTACAAAACCTTGATCTATCTATCTATCTATCTATCTATCTATCTATCTATCTATCTATCTATCTATCTATCTATCTATCTATCTATCTGTCTATCTATCTATCTATCTATCTATCTAGCTAGCTAGCCAGCTAGCTAGCTAGCTAGCGAGGCTAGCTAGCTGGCTAGCTACATTTTGGCAGACAGGCACCTGTGCGCTCTGCGTAAAAACGGGGCATAACATTTTCTCGACAGCTCAGGTGTAGTCTACTGTGCTCCGGACCACGTTGCCTAGCAAAATACCAAAAGAAAGAAAACTAGGACCCAAAGTATTTAATAAGTCAACGGCTCTTAAATGAAATAGATAAACAGTCTTCCATATGAATTCATAGTTCATTTTACTCCATTTTGGCTTAAACCTAACCTATATGACCAAAACGTGTGTAATAAATCTGATATTGTTTTGTAATGCAGATTCATTTATTGCTTGCGTTTGTTAAAAAACAGAAACTATCGTACATCCCTGTGCCGTTTTAAAGTGATTCTCCCGGCGCTCCAGATTCCCATTCATGTGCCATTTGTGAATTTTAAAACTTTGAATAACAATAATAATAATAATAATAAGGTATATTTTGCAACTGCTCTGATCGCAAGCTGCAATTGCAGACTGCTGACCACGAACAAATTCCGGTGATGCATATCATGGGCCACCGTAGGTTAAAGGTGACCTGTTACATATTGGGCACCCCTGATATAGATTATACATATGGGTAGACCAAGAAAAACAACAGCAGCTGACATCTGGGATTGAGAGCAAGGTTTATGGACTGCTGAGCCAAAGATTAACCTTTGCCAAAAGTGATGGAAAGGCTAAAGGTTCAAGAATGGAAGGATCTGCTAATGATCCCAAGTGCACACGCACACATATGTCAAACCCAGTGTCTATCAGTTGAAAGAAAGACGCAGCCAAACGGGTTGGGAGATCCTTCATCATGCGGCAAGATAATGACCCAAAACACACTTGCATAACAACAACATGAACTCAGGGGCAAGAAGTGGAATGTTTTAGACTGGCCAAGTCAAACATAAGACTTAAACACTATGGACAATATAATGTAATATAATATAATATCATAGCATGTATCATTACATAAAATCTAAATATAATGATTAAAAAAAATCTGCTCATGTATTTATGGTTCCCATATTGTCATTTTTGTGATACTTGTTCAAATGATTCAATAGGATTGCTATGTTGCCTGTTTTTGAGGACAGACCTTGCACAATGGCTTCTTTTACACCATGTACACCATTTCGCCACACAAGCGATGGTTAGGAACTTGTCAAAATAGCTCCATTTTCGAAAGACAACGCCAAGTCGCGGATACCCACCAGCTGCGTGTTTAGCTGCATGTTCGCTCATTGTTTACTACTTCTTCTACTGAAGCTGGATAACTTAATGCTGGACTCTGATTGGCTGCTGTCATGGACATTTCTGCCACGTCTGATTTAGGAAATACGATCACAGCTAACAGCTGCTCATGGTAATAGCAGAATTCTCAATCATGCCAGTGCTACATGTATTACCCTTTGGAAGGTAACAGCTGCGATTGGCTGGCAACCAGTTCAGGGCATCCCCCCCCTACGTCCCGAAGACAGCTGGGATAGGCTCCAGCACGCCCCGTGACCCTTGTGAGGATAAGCAGATCAGAAAATGAATGGATGGATGGATGATTTTGTATACAAACTCAAATCCAAGGGAGACGAAATTCCAAGGCTCAAATGAAACAGTGGGCAGTACACTGGGTAGTGGTTTGGACGTCTGCCTCCCAAAAAATGATCTGTGACCATATATAATCACAGTCCAGTAGAAGAATGCTGTAAAATGTTGCTTGGTTAATAAATCAGAGACTTATCAGCTCAACATCTGCAGCTTGTTTCTTCAGGCTTGCCCCCAATACATCAAATGCATCTTTGATCCTATATGTCAGTCCATACATTACACTCCTAGTAGGGGAATGCAGCAGAACGTTACTTGGTTAATAACGCAAAAGTGTGTCAGCTCAACAGGTATCCGCTAAGGTTAAAAAGAGTCCCGGAGTATTTTTCGCGGATATGAGTGAATGGAAATAGTTGTGCTCAGAGTTAACAGCAGTCAACATCGACCCTCTGCTTTGGTGCCTGCTCTTCACACGCACATGCTGATGAGTTGTCTGTACACGTACACACATATACACGCACACAAAAAGACAACGAGGCCAGATTGGTGTGTGTGCGTGTGTAAAGCACAAGAGAGTTTCCATTTCCACAGATGTGCGGGGAAGCAGATGAGAGGATCTCTCATTTCTTTCCACATTTTAAGTGTTGCCCTCTCACAGCTCTAGGAGACCAAATATTTGCCACGGCTTGGAGACATTCCTGGGCAGCTCCCCTCTCTTGCTTAGGCCAGGAACTAAAGGGAACCGACTCCCCACTCGTAATGTTTTCCTTTCAACTGAAAACATGAAATTCATAATCACATTCACTTACATTTACATTACATTATGCCTTGCAAGGGATCCACGGGTTTTTTTATGCACATATTTACACATTAGAAAGAATATGTTTGTCAAGTATACATTGGTCAAATGTGATACAAAAGTGGTGTTAATTCAACACCACAGTGTGTTAATTATAACACCGGCAAAGTGCTTATAGGTATTCACACTCTCCGGTGTTAAAGTCACATTTAGTCAAGTGTTACATGTTTAACATCCAGTAGTGTGTTACAACAGCATGATGTAGTGTTGACATTGCAGTGCGACACTATTGAGTGTTTAGATTAACACTGATCAGTGTTCATGCCAACCGTATTGAGTGTGGGCCAAAGCTTAACAACTTCTGTCCGGCGATCCACGGCGAGTGACGTCATTTAAACGTCAGCCACCATGATGCATTGTTGATTATCCCGTTAACTGCTCTTTGCCATTGATAGTTGTTAGAAATGCCTCGACACTGTTCACATTCAGGCAAACAAACACTTGTTTGAGTGGCCAAAAGAAAAGAACTGAAATGGACCAGAAAATTGGAACACGACAGTTTCCTTCTCGCAAAGCGAGTGAATTTCACACCGGTGTCGACGAGCATTCTTTGTGACAAGCACTTTGATGACCTCTGTTTTTTCAACCGGATTTGGAAAAAAATACAAACATTCGATTCAAAGTATTAGACGTGTACATGGGTGTAATCGTGTACAAAAGCAGAGATTTGGTTTTGTGCCGTGAAAATTTTCTAATTTAAATAAAGGTTGGAAAAAAACTCAAGTACTGAGTAGGTTGACACAGATGTGATGCCAAACAATGTAATAACATTCTTTCATGTTTTTATTTTTATCATCCTTGTGATTTTACTTTTTTTTTTCCACTCTCAGCGTTGACACATATTTCCACATGTTTATTCCACTCAATTCTTTCTTTTTAGGGTGGAATTCCAGAATAAGTTTTATTCCGGCCAGGGCTTCAAGTTTGTCCCCTTTTCATTCGAGAGCATCCTGGATGGAAGATTTGACGAATGATCATCTGGAGTCCAGTCTTCTCTCTTCCTATCAGTGTCAGTGTGCATGAACCCTCGTGCAAACCTCTGTGTCCCTCTAGTGGCATTCCAAAAACCTTGATTGTTTGTGGTATTTGAAACAAGTCGAGTTATTTGAACGCATTTCAAGACCCAGCAGTCTGCATACTGGAACTCATCATGCTCGCAGAATTTCCTTTTATTATTATTATTATTATTTTTGAAAGGCTTGTGAAATAAGATGTCATTTCCTGTTCTGAGTCGAAATCCTCCATGTTTTGGATGCGGAAAGGTTCAAGTACAAAATGTCTGTGTACAACTTTCAACTTCGAGGCTGTGGAAAAACTCACTGAATGGAAATAACCACAAGACCAGAATGCGCCTGTTTGACTGGCGGAGGGAAATGGATTGCATCAGTCGCCAGAAAAAAAAAAACAAAAACACTTGACAAATGAAAGTTGCTCTTAACACTTTCAGGAACAGCGGTGACTACATGGGACAGCTTATCATGTTATCAGGTTACAGAGCGCATGAAAGGGTTAATAACAACAAACTTTGGGTAAAAGAGAGGGTTGCTTTGATATCTACATGAAGTCAGGCATTAATCGTTCTATTGGTTGGGAAGCCATTTGTCATCTGAATCTCAATATTATTTTCCTACAAAAATTATACAGAGACATTGTTCGTGTTTAACACCGTGCAGTTGTTTTTCATGTTTTAATGAGAAGGGGGAAAAAAAATAGCCATCTCTGGCAAGATTGAGTATTACCTGTTGTCTCCTGCATGTCTTCTGTGCAAATTGTGGAGGATAGTTTGTGTTAGATCAAGGGGGCCCCAAATCCGGTCCTCAAGAGGCCCTATCCAATCTGCTTTAGATGTCTGATTCAAATGATCAGAATCGTGATCAGGCTTCTAGCAAAGCTTGCCGATGTGCTTTCATCAGGTGTGTCGCAGGAGAGAGAAATCTAAAACAGGCTGGATAGGGGCACTCAAGAACTGAACTTGGGCACCCTTGTCTTAAATGATCATATGCGTGATGACACACATATGATCATGGTTCATTTTACTCCATGAGAGTTAATATATTGCTGTTATTTTGTGGCATGAAAGTTTCTGTTCAACTGCAGTCACCTCCCGATGACAAGTGTGTTGCTGCAGGACATCAGGCTGCAAAAATTAAAAAAATATTACTATTGTAAGTTATTGGTGATGTGGAAGGTTAATGTGCCAGCGTGACGTGATCAATAAAGATTTGGGGTTTGAATGTCGATTGTGTTTTCTGTCTTGTTCATTGTTTTTTTTTTTGTCTTCTTCAGGCTTAGAGACGTGTTAGAACCTTGATTTATGTGAATCTGTATGATTCATCCTTCGTTGACGTACACATGCTCATCTCACTAAATCCCGTGTTGTTGAAATGCTTTATTCTGGTATGTTTTGCAGCTGCAGTTAAATCAGGGGCCCCTCTATATTGTATGATTAAAGACAACGAACCATGTTCGTGAAAAATCAAAAGAAATATTGTATTTAAGAATACAATAAATAATAAAAACAAACAATGCTTTTCTGTTTTAGTTATTTTATTTTTACTCAATTATTTTTATTTTATTATTATGCGTATATCTTTTTATTTTATGTGCAGTTACAAAGTGTGAACAGGAAGTAGTACAGTAGAAAAAATATAAATATGCTGGCTCAACAACACTTGGTACAGTATAGACTTTTTAAAGCGGTGCAACTTCGCCATTCTTAAGTAACTGCAACTTGAATTATCTAGTTTGTCAATTATTTTAGTTTAAATTAAACATGAGTTTTTCTTTGTTCCAGACAAGCTGTTTAAAGTTGATAACTTTAATTTACTTCATTTAAGTAACTCAAGTTAAGTTATTTAACTTATTTGCGCTTTCATTCTACACTGACATGATGAATTATTTCATTTTACATTTCAAACACGCTTCCCCCCCCCCCTTGTATGAAAAAAACGTGCCACGTGTTATATTTTGAAAGGTATACCGGAAAAAGTACTTTTTATCCCGAAAACTTGTTCCAAATACCGATACTGAGTGGAGAAGCAGATCTGACAACAAGCGAAACTTTGTTTTTATCTTTATATAAGATTTTATTCACTTGAAACTATACGATTGAATCAGCACGGGTGATCAAGAAAACTGTTCGAGATTTGAACACATCATAGAACATTAATTGGAAGGCATTGAGAGCGAACGGGGGCGAGGAAATCGTCTCACCTCCAAACTTCGTCGCGCTCGAGGACGGTTTTCTAGTTAGCTAACTTGGCTAATTGTTGGAGTTAAAATTCCACATTTGTTCCCATTCTCCTGGGTGGCACGAGCCATACACCGTCTCATTGCTGAATTCAGATGTATCATCCGATATTTCCTGGTAAGTTTATGTTTAGACCAACTCCCAGTTTTTGTGTGCCGTTCATTCGGAGCAAAAATAACGCAAAACAAAACATTCAATGGTGAAGGTTTCGCATCGGTGTCTTGAACACTTCAACTCAGCGCTAACTTTCCAGTCACGTAAAATGGCGTATCAATGACTACAACTTTTTGATTTTATTCGAACATTTGAAAAGTGACTATTATAAACGAGAAGAGTCACCATTCAGTGTGATTGACATTTTGGAGTGACCCAGGGAGAGTAAACTTTGATTCATTTCGCTATTCTTAACGGAAGTTGTGTCTTTATTAATTGCTGACAGGGGAAAAAAAATGACGATTGTCCTAATCGTGTTCGTACACGATACTAAATGTGAAGGTGGGACTGGAAGAGAAGTTTGAATGAAAATAATCTATAGCTGTTAAAATTTAACTGCAGTACGTTCCCATGAAGGAACGTACTGTAGTTCGGAAAAAGCAAAGCTCCATAATCATGGTTTAAGGTTTTATTCGAATTGACTTGAATTTTTGCCTCACCCTGTGTGCCATGCACCAACTTGCTATTTGTTGCACGGCTATTAAACCATCTTTATCTCTGTATTACCACACAGGAGTGGTAAGACCGAGTGATGGACTGACGATGACATTTTGAGATGGTAGACTGAAGGTGATGGACTGGCAAAGTTTAGTGACACGCCCACCTCTGGTTATTCTAAGCATAGCCACATCCCCAGTCAGAAAGCATATAAAGAGTTTTTGTATTTTGACTCATTGCAGGATTTCTGACTAATTGTGAATTAGTCGGAAGTGAATGCATCATACTTTTGTTCCAATGTGTTGTACTTGTGCACTCTACTGTACGCATGCCATGTTTTGTGCAACTCGAGAGGCAGCGACACGCTACTGTCTGTCTAATATTGAATACCTCATCTCCTCCAGATTTCAGTGTGATGGAGTGAGAATGGGACGAGGCAGCGTCGAAAGTGACTTCAGCCCTGGAGGCTGATGCACGCTCTCCATCGGCCCGCCAGAATGCACATAGCATCGGTTGGCGTCAGTAAGGTCGGCTTCCTGTTTTCCCTTGCGCTCGGCGGCCTCCTCTTGTTGCTCATCCCAGCTCTCCAACCCACGGCCCGCCAGTTGGACCTGCCACAGCCCAGACCTCAAGTGAAGACCTCATCTTACACTTTACAGCACAATACTGGGCCTCCCACAGTGTCCGATTCTGCTGGGGACACAGAAACGGCCACGGGGTTAAGTATTAGCTCAGAAGGGATGAATGGTACCATAGAGACTGAACCTTTTGAGAATGATGACGACAAGGAGACATACTCTGAAAAAAATTCTGAAGCGCTTTCCTTGCCTGAAGGACAAAGTCGAATACTTCCTCGACCTGGATCACGAGACCCGCTGGAATTAAAGGACATTTTTATTGCAGTTAAAACCACCAGGAAGTACCACAAGTCCAGAGTGGAGCTGCTGATTCAGACCTGGATATCTCAGGCCAAAGAACAGGTGAGAATAGCTTAACTTTCATGGCACAGGAGTAATTTGTTTAGAAGTAATCACGATTGAAATATGACTCCGTTCTAGCGTGTGATCCACCTTTTGTCAGGATCGTAACAGTTTGGGATTTTTCATTAGTTTTAATTTTGTCCCCCCCCTCCCCCTATCATGACTGCCATGTCACGTGCCGTATCAATGTTAGACCCATTGTGGTCATTTCGCAGATGAGCGCAGACTGGCGGATCTGCAAGAGAGAGGCCTGCACCGCTGTGGGAGTGGTATGTGATCCACCTTTTGTCAGGATCGTAACTGTTTGGGATTTTTCATTAGTTTTAATTTTGTTCCCCCCCCCCCCCCCCCCCCCCTCCCCCTATCATGACTGCCATGTCACGTGCCGTATCAATGTTAGACCCATTGTGGTCATTTCGCAGATGAGCGCAGACTGGCGGATCTGCAAGAGAGAGGCCTGCACCGCTGTGGGAGTGGTCCAAGTTGACCTTGATCATGGCCAATCAAAGCGGCTCCTTTCATTCTCTTTAAATGCAAATCCAATGAAATCTTCATCCTTCTTGACATGGCACTTGGACGCCGCCCTCATCCCCTTCATTTGTGTGCCCCCCCCACCTATTTTGCTGTGCCGCTTATTAGAATGATTAAAAATGATGCCCACTGTTCACTAACTTTCCAAGTTGACCTTGATCATGGCCAATCAAAGCGGCTCCTTTTATTCTCTTTAAATGCAGTAGAGTAGTCCCGCACTAGATTCTTGACATGGCACTTGGAGGCCGCCCTCATCCCCTTCATTTGTGTGCCCCCCCACCTTTTTTGCTGTGACGCTTATTGGAATGATTAAAAATGATGCCCACTGTTCACTAACTTGTGAATGAAATAAAACTAACATCCACCACACATCCACCACACATCCGCAGAGCTTAGTATTTTTCTGCCTGTGCCCCAATCAAATTAACCAAAATCTCATTAGGCTGAAAAATGCGGTCAAGGTCTACTGAGATCATGTCTTGTGTGAGTTTTTAATAGTGTGTCTTTGTCTCTTCCAGACCTATTTATTCTCAGACGGTGAAGACAAACAGCTGCAGATGAGAACAGGTAATTCTGCCTAACTATTAATGAATGGAGAATTGGGGGAGAAAAAAAAAGACACATTTTAGCCATTCACCCTTTCCTGCACCAATAATGTAACCTGATGACATGATAAGCTGTCCACTGTAGTAACCGCTGTCCCCGTTATTTATTCTCAGACGGTGAAGACAAAGAACTGCAGATGAGAACAGGTAATTCTGCCTAACTATTCATGAATGGAGAATTGGGGGAGAAAAAAGACACATTTTAGCCATTCACCCTTTCATGCACCTATAATGTAACCTGATAACATGATAAGCTGTCCGCTGTAGTAACCGCTGTCCCTGAAAGGGTTAAAGTTCTGAGCATCAATTAGATGACTTGATGGTTTTAGAAAGAAATGACATTCCATTACTTTTCTTTTTCTTTTTCATCTTATTTTTTTTTTAATAGGTGCAAATATTATTAACACCAACTGCTCAGCGGCTCACACTCGACAGGCTCTCTGCTGCAAGATGTCTGTTGAGTATGACAAATTCATTGAGTCTCAAAAGAAGTGAGTTATCGGACAAAAGCCGGATCTGAGAACAAGACCTCGACACACAGTTTGTTGAGTAATATTTTGTGTGCTGCAGGTGGTTTTGTCATGTGGATGATGACAACTATGTGATCCTACCTAGCCTGTTACAACTGCTGTCTTCCTACCACCACAGCCAGGATGTTTATCTTGGTCGGCCCAGTCTTGATCACCCCATCGAAGCTGCAGAAAGGATCAAGAGCAATGGAATGGTCAGTAACTAAACTTTAATCGAGGTTCAAAGCTACCATATTTTTCTGGATTATAAATCGCTGCGCCGTATAAATCGCCCAGCCATAAAATGAATAATAAAGAAGAAAAAAACATACATAAGTCACATTGGACAATAGGTCGCATTTTGGGGGGGAAATTTATTTAATAAAATCCAACAGCAAGAACAGACATATCATCTTGAAAGACGATTTCAAATGAAAATAAAAGAGAACAGGCTAAATAAGTGTACGATATGCTAACGTTACATCATGCATAAACAAAGAACGTGCCTGGTATGTTCACATAACGTATTAAGAATTATTCAGATAACTATAGCATAAAAAACATGCCAACACGTTTACCAAACCATCAGTGTCACTCCAAATCACTAAATCCAATGAAATCTTCATCCTCCGTGTCACTTTTAGACAACTAGGGAAGGTAGAAGATGCGATGGTGCTTCCTCTTTCACGTCGTCGCTGACGGCAGATTCATCGTCTATTTATCAACACAGGCCTAGAGCTCCCTCTTTTGGGTTAATGTGAAAATAACATGTAAAATGCTACTGTATAATAATGTGTGAATAATTTCACATATAAATCGCTCCAGAGTATAAATCGCACCCCCGGCCAAACTATGAAAAAAAACTGCGATTTATCATCCGGAAAATACGGTTCACTGAATTGGAAATATTGCGGATTCAAGAACTGTTAAGACACAAGTTTTCCTCTACGTCGCAGCTTTTTTCTAGTATGATGGAATCATGTTTGTGCTTGCTCCAGCGCTTCTCAGCCATACAGTACAGTAAAATGTGCGTTTGGTAATTTGCATAGACTACTCTGGAAAATACAACCCCAAGTATGTCTTGAAGAAAACATTAAAAATCTTTGTAGAAGCACTCCATGCACCCATGCAATGTAAACAGTTCCATTGTTCCGCCAGTATTATACTAGTGTAAACCGAGGGCTTTCTAATTGAGTGTAATTGATATTAATGGATATAAATGCTTCGTATTTTTCTTCAAAATAAAATCCTTTTCTCATTTCAGGTGTCAGTCAAGTTCTGGTTTGCAACAGGCGGTGCGGGTTTCTGTATCAGCCGCGGTCTGGCGCTGAAAATGAGTCCGTGGGCCAGGTAGGTCCTGTCTTCTCATCATCACGCAGTTCTTTTAATCTGTTTTACTGTATCAGGTTTCCACAGGATCTGAAAAAGTCTCAAACGCATTGAATTCCTGAATTTCGAAATAATACCTCTTGACTATTGATATCAGGGTCTTAAATTGTATGCTTTTTTTGCGGCTTTCGGTTGGCCACCGGAGGGCTTGGACGCCGAAATGTCATGTGGACCGAGCCATGCCTTTTCTTTTTTAGTTGTACTTTTACTTCCGCTACTGGATACTATAAATGCGTGGACTTAATCCCCGTTGGATTACAGTACAATTGACAAATGTGAGCATTTTCAACATCCCGGATAAAATGGCTCTCCGTGGATTGTTTTCAAGTCTGGCAGGCGCCACAGTTGGCGGAGGGAACGTAATAAACAAAAGTGGGGATATGGAGCAGGGCTAATGGATAACCACTCAAACCTCCAGTGCCAAGTTCTCTTTCTACTTCTCCAACACTGTCCCCGTAATACAAAATGGGTGAACTGTAGCTACAATACCCAGGGAGATTGCCATATGTTTGTGTCTGTTGCATTTTATTGATCATGAATACATGGCTACACACCTTCAGTGCAACGAGAAACATAGGCAGCGGTGCAAAGTGAAGTTTCCTTCGCCAGATCATTATGTCCAAGATTGCACAGACAAGAACGAACGAGAACTTTATTGCACGCTCACGATCCTTGCAGCTCACAAAATGGTGGCTGGATCAGAAACACATCATAGTAATTCACACTTAACAGTCACGGCTTGTTGAAGCGCAGCTATGGTGAGTGATAGTTTTAATTATTTGTTTGTATTTTGCTCCTTGAAATGTTAGAGCCCCGCGCTAGTTGCTTTTCCATGGAGAGGCCATAAGGGGAACTTGGTGACGCAAAGTGAAGTTTCCTCGCCAGATCATTATGTCCAATACTGCGCAGACAACAACGAACGAGAACTTTATTGCACGCTCACGATCCTTGCAGCTTACAAAATGGTGGCTGGATCAGAAACACATCATAGTAATTCACACTGAACAGTCACGGCTTGTTGAAGCGCAGCTATGGTGAGTGATAGTTTTAATTATTTGTTTGTATTTTGCTCCTTGAAATGTTAGAGCCCCACGCTAGTTGCTTTTCCATGGAGAGGCCATAAGGGGAACTTGGTGAAACTGTCTGACCTTGATCAAAAGATTGCTGCCGAGAGTGTGGTGCTAAGATGACTGTTCCTGATCTTAATTTTATCTATTTATTGTTGAGTTCCAATTTACATTATTTTCCCCCGATTTCAAGATTATCCATTTTGTTGCACACCTTACATCGATGCACATGTCCCTTGTTTTCCAAGATGGTCGTTTCAGCATTTCCATGGAAATTTTGTCCTCAAAAACATCTACTTGAATAGCCATTTTCAAAAGCTTGCATTTTAAATACTGCCGTTGTTGTGTCGTGTAAATAACGATAGCTGTAGATGTCAGTTGAAATGGCCCCAGGAGGATTTTTTTTTTTTTTCACCTTCCCCACAATCCACGCACTGGTTAGTTGCACCATCAGCAGCGAGCTAATTAACGATGGCACATGCGACAAGGCAGGAATCTCTGCGTGGCAATAAAGTTGCGGCCTGTAACTCGATGTTGTGGTTTCAGTTTGGGGAATTTCATCAGCACGGCAGAGAAGATCCGCCTCCCGGATGATTGCACCATCGGCTACATTATTGAGGCTCTGCTGGAGGTCGCCTTAATACACACACACCTCTTCCACTCCCACCTGGAAAATCTCCAAAAGCTGCCCACTGACAGTGTGTTGGAGCAGGTTAGTGCGTTTGTGTTCTTGGCCTGTTCGCATAAGAAGGGAGGAGTACCGTATTTTACGCACTATAAGGCGCTTCGCAATATCAAGCGCACCTTCAATCAATGGCCTAGTTTAAATCTGTTTTCACATATAGGGCACACTGCATTAAAATGCAGTTTTAAAATAGGCCATTTATTGAAGATACGCCTTATAATCCGAAGCACCTTAAAGTGCGGAAAATACGGTATATATTATAGCTTTGTCTTACAGCTAGAACAGTGGTTCTTAAGCTGGGTTCGATCGAACCCCAGGGGTTCAGTGAATCGGTCTCAGGGGTTCGACGGAGCCTCTGCTATGGAGGCTAAGATGCACCCGACTCAACATGTCAATTAGTTATGATGCGCCCGGTTGGCCATCACTGGCTGCAGATCACATGATATTACTTGACAAATCAGTGCTGTGGGAAATTTAGTTTCGGTACCTCTCAACCTCTCACAAGGTTAAGAACCACTGACCTAGAACCTGGATTTTTCATCTGTATGTGAAAGCTTCTGTTGAAAGCTTCTATCTGAACAATGACCTTGAGTTTGAGATGGCCAACTCCACAGATGCTTTTTTTTTTTTTAAAAAAGGTGACGCTGAGCTATGGGGGCTATGAGAATCGACGGAATGTGGTCAGCATTGTCGGAGGCTTTTCACTGGTTGAAGATCCGACAAGGTAGAGGCATGAATAATCCATATATTCATGAGATGATGCATTAACAAATAACGATTCCAATTCCACAGGTTTAAGACGGTACACTGTCTACTCTATCCGGATACTGACTGGTGTCCAAAGCCTAAACCTCATCATGGAAAGTGACTTCCGCTCGACCTTTTTCCGGCAGCTCTAAATTAAAGTGCTGCCCCGTTATGCTGAGCTCAAGCGACCTTGACTTGGGACTTTCTCACAACTGATGCTTTAAAATTCAAGCCATGCTCGACCTACCTCATGAGAGTTTGAAATGATTCATTCGCCAAAAGTCATCCTGAATACAGTGCCAAGCCTTTCAGAGCCAGAATAACAGAAATGAATCAGAAGTGGTTCATGGTGGCTGGAGTATATGAAGATCCTTCTGGGATCCAACGTCAAATTGCACACATTTTCTGCTGTGATGCTCAAGTGAGCTTACTGAAAACCGAAGAAACAATGACTCGAATACACATAACTGAAGTCTTGGAGAAAGGACATATGTTGTACCTCTGTGAGGAGAGCATTTATGGCTGCCGCTAAAAAGGACCCTAATGCTCTTCGCACTTTCAGTTGCAGTTACAACCCCCATTTCCAATGAAGTTGGGACATTGAATAAAAGGTAAATGAAAAACCAAATACAATGTGGGCAATATTCACTCATTTTGAATTGATGCCTGCAGCATATCCCGCAAAAAGCTGGGACAAAGACAGTCAAGGAATGCTCAAAAATCACCTTTTTGGACATGAACAGGTTCACTGGAAAACAGATAAGTCATGATTGGGTATGAAAGGAGAATCCCCAAAAGATCAGTTGTTCACAAGCATTAATTTCTCAAGAGGCAAATGACTACGTCACCAAAAATTACTGAATCTCTAAATGTAGCATTTGGAAGGGTAAACTAGATTGACACAGTTATTAGAAAATCCTTAAATACTCCGGCGAAATGACTTTTAATAGGGGAAACATTTACATGCCAAATTGTTTCTTTTTACTTAAAAATAATAATGTATTTTTAGTGACTGCCAATGTAGAGTAAGTGTTTATAAATACTGGAGAATCTGTAACAGTTGCCAAACATCGCAACATTTATCATAGCCTATGACAAAAACAATATAAATAAATAAATGGCTCATTACGTGTTTTTATTGGAAGTCAAACTTTTTGTGACCGTCTTGATTGGTGATGTGCTTCGATTTTTTTTCTTGTGTAAATAAAGCAATAAATGGCCGAACCTAAGACAAAACGGTGTGGACTTAACAACGGTAATTTGCACATACTAATGTATTTTCCAAGGATGGGGAAATGTCTGAGTAAATAGTTCAACAGTTTTCAGAAAGTGTCTAAACGTACAATTGCAAGGTATTTATGTTTTAAGGATATTGCCATGTAGGCTCAGGAACAATTCAGGAAGCCATCGTAGGTTATCTCAGTTCTTTGCTACACCTACAAATGCAAGCTAAAGGTCGACCAGTCAAAGCAAAAGCCTGACATCAACAACACCAGGAAACACAACAAACAACTCGAGACCTGAGCTCATCTGCGATGCACTGACAGTGGAAAAGTATGCGGAGGACTAATGACTCCACATTTCAAATTGTTTTTGGATGTCGAAGGAGACAAAGGCCAGCTGGATTTTTATCACCGCAAAGCTCAAAAAAACACATTCTCACATATTACAACAGCTTGGCTTGGTAGTAAACGAGTGAGTACTAGACTGACCTGCCAGCAGTCCACACCTGTCCACGCACTGAAAATGTGTGCGCCTTTTTAAATTTAGATACTGGTTTTGGAGCAACATCCGATTCCCAAAAAAGCAATGCCATCTTCAGAGAGCGCTCCGGTTATTTCAGCAAGACAATGCCAACACAAGTTCTGCGCGTATTACAACAGCTCAGCTTGGTAGTAAACCAGTGAGAACTAGACCAGCCTGCCAGCAGTCCACACCTGTCCACGCACTGAAAATATCTGCGCTTTATGAAGCGCAAAAATGCGACAACGGACACCTCAGCCTGTTGAGCAACTGAAGTTGTACATCAAGAAAAAAATGGGAAAGAATTCCAACGACAAAGCGTCAACGATTCCTGTCGTCAGTTGCCAAATACTCCTATCTTTTTTGGAATATGTTGCAAGCATGAAATTCAAAATGAGTCAGTATGTATTTGCACAATAGAGTATATCACTTTGAATCTAGATTGAAATGGATTTGCAAATCATTGCATTCTGTTTTGATTTACGTTAGACACAATGTCCAAACTTCATTGGAATTGAGGTTTATACGCGCGTACATATGAGCAGATTAACATGGGGGCGTGCGAGGGTTTAATGTTCAGAGTTGCAACGTAAAGAATGTTGTGCTTGGTGTATTTACTGTAGTGTGCTAAGAAGAATCATCACAAAGGCATTGTCTACATAATCAAGAACCAAAGTTAATCGCTAATTAATCGCTAAAGTAATTTTCAGCAGTTATGCAACACAAACACAAACCACATTCAAATGAGCCTCATTATATTTGCAAACACGCTAGCTGCAATAACGCTAGCGAAGCTGGATGGGACATCACACTGACGCAACTAAATAGCACAAGCTATTCAAAGGACATTTCAAACGCAGATGGAAAAAGACCATGATTGACATGAACATTAATGTGAAAATGTACAACTTTTCCTCAATGCTATGTTTTGACTGTTAAAAAAATATATATATTCTACAGCCCTATTTCCACCAAGCAGGACATTTTTATTTCGTTTCTCCCAGTACACGTTTTGCCTTTATACTATTTAACTCCAGTATTTGAAAATAGTCATATTTACAGTATTTGAATAAATTGCTAAAAAGACATGGGAATGAAGGAAGATAACACAAGAATGAAATGAGGTACTTTGCATGTGTACAATGAATTAATTTAGGACTGTTATTTTGATGGGTTTTTTTTTTACTATCCAGTGACAGCAAAACGTGCCAGATTTTGTATCTTGGTGTTTTTCTGTTTGTTTTTTTTTTTTAATACGACACAGCTTCATAAATGTCCTCCAGTTGTAACTTTGGCATTTGTGTTACAGAGCCACATTTATTGTTTTTGCACTATTTTGACGGTGCACGTATGTCGGATGATCTTTTCCAAAGTGATTCCCCCCTGCGGCCATTCAACGTTAACTACGTTAACGGGATCAAAGTCCAAATTTGTGTAAATGTACATTGTCCTTTTAAAATGTAAATGATAAATAACCCGAATGTTTTTTTTTTTTTTTACCGTTTGGATATTGTATTTAACAGATTCGATTGAACAATGTCAACAATATTTTCATAAAGTTGGATCAATTTTGGCAGTTTGACTTGTGTCTCTTTATTGTGAAAAATAAATGCTAAATTGACATTGTGGTGTGCTCATTGATGCAGCGTTGGCTTGATCATGTTTTCTCTGTACAATATTACCTCTTAGTCAAAAATCCAGTTTGAGATGAAAGTGATGGTTTTTGAAGTTCAAAATTGGATTAAAGATCAGCCTTGTCAAAGATTTAATATTTTTTCCATTAATGCAAATTTTCCAATAATACCAATCTGAGTTTATACAAATTTATTGGCCGGGTGAGGACACGTTTGCATTATATCTTTGGTGATCAGGCTTGACAGCTCCGGTAAATTTTAAATTTCTACTTGTTTATTTCAGTTGAATAATTTTTCACTCATTATTTGTATACAAGCCTAGAATAGCAAATTCAAACGTGGCACTGTAGGTCAGGGGGTGGGACTACGATGTGAAGTCTTGTCATTGATGCAGTGTTGTTTGATTTTAAAAAAAAAAAGTGACATGTTTCAAGACTTGATGTTATTAATTTCTCAAGAGGCATATGACTACATCACCAAAAATTACTGACTCTCTAAATGTAGCATTTGGAAGGGTAAACTAGATTGACACAGTTATTAGAAAATCCTTAAATACTCCGGCGAAATGACTTTTAATAGGGGAAACATTTACATGCCAAATTGTTTCTTTTTACTTAAAAATAATAATGTATTTTTAGTGACTGCCAATGTAGAGTAAGTGTTTATAAATACTGGAGAATCTGTAACAGTTGCCAAACATCGCAACATTTATCATAGCCTATGACAAAAACAATATAAATAAATAAATGGCTCATTACGTGTTTTTATTGGAAGTCAAACTTTTTGTGACCGTCTTGATTGGTGATGTGCTTCGATTTTTTTTCTTGTGTAAATAAAGCAATAAATGGCCGAACCTAAGACAAAACGGTGTGGACTTAACAACGGTAATTTGCACATACTAATGTATTTTCTTAAGATTATGACCGTCATAATTTACTATTGGTGGTAAAACTGCATCATTTTGCCAAGGGGTATCGTGAGTGTCGTTTCCAGAGGCGTGAATCGAACCTCATGTTTCGGTGAGGGTAATAAACTAGATGAGGTAGCTCTGTTGAAATTTATCAAGATCTGCACGTGGTAAATAAACAAAATAACTTGGTGGGTTGACGACGACTGTGCGATTAGATTCAAGCTCACTTTACCTTTAAACTTTAAATTTGGTAGCCAAACGGAACCGTGTGACGCCTCTTCCTGACAACTGCGTTCCAGGCCAGCCTCTTTTGTGTTTGCACTACTTTGGTGAGCACTATAACTCTTACTTTTTCAGACATCCATAAAACACACACATTCTCTGTTGAAATAAGCATTTAAGGGAGCGATTTTGCAGTTTTCGTCGCGTACCATCACGTGATAGTCCGACTCGTCGCTTCTTTCCGGACCGAAACAGTGACATGTTCTGATTTTATTTGGACTTGTTTCGTCATGGAGATTTCATTTGAAGGCAAACACGCTCTGGTCACCGGAGCAGGAAAAGGTAAATGCAAGACGCAAAAAAAAAGACTCTCCTTGTGCGGCTATCGTGGTGTTTCGCGTCCCCGGTGAATGGACTTGAACACCATGATCAAAGTGTTCAACCCCCTCATCTGTAATAAAATATTATAAGCTTCTCTACTCAATAAAATATACAGTATTTAAATGTGATCCGTGCTACTCTGACATAAATGTATGCGAAAAATATTGGCACGATATTCAAATAACGGTATGACAGTACTCATTGGTTCTTTTTTGCCTTTTCAAACAGCTTTGGTGCATTTTGATTATTTATATTTAATTCTTGTTCATGTTTTAGAATAATACAAAAAGCCACACAACATTTGGAGCCGGTGCAATTGTCACAGCGGTCACCCGCACGCAGTCTGACCTGGATAGTCTGGTGCACGAGGTACAGGATTATTAGTATTCCAAGTACTGTATTCCGGTTTGCTTTTTTTTTTTTTTTTTTTTTACTCCTGCACCCTTGTTTCTTATTTTTAGTGACTGCCAATGTAGAGTAAGTGTTTATAAATACTGGAGAATCTGTAACAGTTGCCAAACATCGCAACATTTATCATAGCCTATGACAAAAACAATATAAATAAATAAATGGCTCATTACGTGTTTTTATTGGAAGTCAAACTTTTTGTGACCGTCTTGATTGGTGATGTGCTTCGATTTTTTTTCTTGTGTAAATAAAGCAATAAATGGCCGAACCTAAGACAAAACGGTGTGGACTTAACAACGGTAATTTGCACATACTAATGTATTTTTATGAAGATTATGACCGTGATAATTTACTATGGGTGGTAAAACTGCATCATTGGCGTGTATCGAACCTCATGTTTCACTGAGGGTAATAAACTAGATGAGATAGCTCTGTTGAAATTTATCAAGATCTGCACGTGGTAAATAAACAAAATAACTTGGTGGGTTGTCGACGACTGTGCGAGTAGGTTCAAGCTCACTTTACCTTTAAACTTTAAATTTGGTAGCCAAACGGAAACGTGTGACGCCTCTTCCTGACAACTGCGTTCCAGGCCAGCCTCTTTTGTGTTTGCACTACTTTGGTGAGCACTATAACTCTTACTTTTTCAGACATCCATAAAACACACACATTCTCTGTTGAAATAAGCATTTAAGGGAGCGATTTTGCAGTTTTCGTCGCGTACCATCACGTGATAGTCCGACTCGTCGCTTCTTTCCGGACCGAAACAGTGACATGTTCTGATTTTATTTGGACTTGTTTCGTCATGGAGATTTCATTTGAAGGCAAACACGCTCTGGTCACCGGAGCAGGAAAAGGTAAATGCAAGACGCAAAAAAAAAGACTCTCCTTGTGCGGCTATCGTGGTGTTTCGCGTCCCCGGTGAATGGACTTGAACACCATGATCAAAGTGTTCAACCCCCTCATCTGTAATAAAATATTATAAGCTTCTCTACTCAATAAAATATACAGTATTTAAATGTGATCCGTGCTACTCTGACATAAATGTATGCGAAAAATATTGGCACGATATTCAAATAACGGTATGACAGTACTCATTGGTTCTTTTTTGCCTTTTCAAACAGCTTTGGTGCATTTTGATTATTTATATTTAATTCTTGTTCATGTTTTAGAATAATACAAAAAGCCACACAACATTTGGAGAAGCCGACTTTTATTGTATAGCGAGACGATGCAACAATAATTGGAAGATAATACAATAAATTATCGTTTCATGCTGAAGTTTTTGCAGATTAGGTTATATAAATCGTCATGCCAAATGTGTCTTTCTTACGAGAAAATGTAAAGCCGTCCCGAAGGAAAGACTTTGTTTACAGAGTGCAGGTGTGTATTTTGTTTGCACTTTTTTTTCTCAAAATGATACGAATTAATATCAAATGAATTTATTATATGTGCCTGCCACCCAAGTGAAGATAAAACGGTTCAGACAGTGGAAGGATGTGTCTTTAAAATGACATACATCCCTGAATTCAATTTTTTGTCACACCGCGATGAGGGTCTTTTTTGTGTTTGTCGTGACACTTCCTGTTTTATTTTGAAAGAATAACTCTCCTCCCGTTTCAGGTTACTTACCCTTCCTCTTGTGCCAGTCTGATGGTCAACCCCGCCGTGATTGTTTCCACCTGTTGCCCCCTTTCCTTGTGTTAAAATGGTTCTTGTCTCCCTTTGTCCTGTGCCAGTGTGTTTCGTTCTTGTCTTCTTGTAGATATTATTGTATATATGATATTTGCTCCACGTACAGCACTTTGTATACAGCGGTGGTTGTTTTAAAGTGCTCTTGAAATAAAGTTGAGAAGAGTTGTGCGTCCACTCCAGTTTCTCGCCATAGATCTGATCAGTTCTTGCGCTGTTTCCACAGCCTTGCCGTTTCGAGTTGTCAGTGGCTGATCCTCAAATAAGTCTTTTTACTTTGAACCCCGCAACTATGTCCTGTCTGTGTCCAAGTCTGGTTCTGACAGTTATGGTTTAAACTGGAACAGCAGTTTGCGTTACATTTTACGTTGGGTTATATACATCATTGTAATCCTATAAGGAGGCACCATACACGACTTTCGTCTAAATTCAGAGGTCAGGAGTTCATATCTGGGCTCCGCTAAGAGGTATAGAAAATGGATGCGTGAATCTGTAAATTTTCATTACAATATTAGGGTTATATTTACACAATACAGTATTTAAAAAATACAATCAGACCATATTTTGAATATATGATTACATAGTCATATTTACATGATCATCTCTTTTCGATTATTTTTGGGACTGTGTGGCCCTAAACGTTGAACAATTTGTTTTTGTTGGATTAATTCACACTCCCTTAGTTTTTTGGTATGTACTGTCTTTCAGGGATTGGCAGGGCCACGGCTTTGTCTCTGGCGCGTTACGGTGCAATTGTCACAGCGGTCACCCGGACGCAGTCCGACCTGGACAGTCTGGTGCACGAGGTACAGGATTATTAGTATTCCAAGTACTGTATTCCGGTTTGCTTTTTTTTTTTTTTTTTTTTTTACTCCTGCATCCATGTGTCTCTTTTCTGGTGTGTTGCCTTAGTGTCCATCCATCATCCCTGTGTGTGTTGACTTGGCAGACTGGGGGGCCACAGATGCCGCCCTCAAAAACATCGGTCCCATTGATCTACTCATCAATAATGCTGCATGTGCCACACTCCAGCCATTTCTTGAGGTCACACCTGACCAATTTGACCAGTAAGTCAATTAGCGAACAAGGTTATTATAATTGCCGGGAATTAACAAAATAACTCCAACTGAAATTGGAAAGTGAAAATGTGGCCAAGTAAGTAAATGAAGTGTCTTCTTTCTAGGTCCTTCACTGTGAATGTGAAAGCGGTGCTGCATGTGTCCCAGGTATAGGTCAATAATTTACTGTTTTCGAGCAGCATGTTGAGGAGCTTCTCTTACTCCAAACCGTTTCCACCGAATATAAGAAGGCTACTGTATGTGTGTGGCAGGTCGTGGCACGTGGGATGATAGCCAGAAGATCAGGAGGCTCCATCGTCAATGTGTCTAGCCAGGCGTCGCAATGTGCCCTCAAAAACCATACTGTGTACTGTGAGTAATTGCGCAATGAAACACTTTATTTACAACCCCCCCCCCCACCCAATTTTGCTGCTGTAGACTGCAAATTTCCCCAGTGTGGGACAAATAAAGGTTATCTTATCTTAAACCAAAGGTCCATATTTCTAGAACTGACTTTTTAATTGTTGCAAAGAAAGAGCACAATGTCTCTTGATTCATCTTGTATTTGATACACCTTTCAGGTGCCACGAAAGGAGCCCTGGACATGTTGACCAAAGTCATGGCTCTGGAGCTGGGACCCCATCAGGTACTCGGCTTATCGGATGCATAGTAGCAATTACCGTATTTTACACAATATAAATGTTGACTTTCTTCCGCAACCATTATTTCTTTGTTATTAGGTGGAATAATAATATTAACCCTTTCTTGCACAAAAAATGACAACCTGTCCACTGTAGTAACCGTTGTGCCTGAAAGGGATAATAATTAAATCGGCTAGTAGTTTAGGTTTAAAAATATGTTTCGTTTTGAAAAAAAAGAACAATAAGCATCCATTTAAAAACACAAACAATATTTCACTCTTACAGAGCCCCTGAATGAACATTGGTAGACAAGGGGTCATTGTGCCTGACTTGCATCGTAGTACGGTTTTATTGTATACACTTTGTTGCTGTTATTATGGAGTCTGACTGAATGTTCCGTGTGGCCTTTTTTTGTCAGATTCGCGTGAACAGCGTGAACCCCACCGTGGTGATGACGGAAATGGGCCGTCGAGGTTGGAGCGACTCGGAGAAAGCGAAGACCATGACATCCCGCATCCCGCTGGGCCGCTTTGCAGGTTGGAGTCGGCAGTCTTGACCGCTCCTTTGCCTTGATCGCAATTAGCCTATGCTCGTACAACGTTAAATTAATGTTCTATAATAATGTACTATCTGAAAGCATGTTTTTTTTTTTCCCCCATCACATTATCTTGGTTGTTAATTTTTACAACCGTCGCCGATTTGATTTGAAAGCAATTGTCAAGTAAGTCGTACAGCTTGTAGGTCACATCAAAGGTGAACAACGTTTGAAATGATTTAACTTGTTCTCTTTGGATGATAAAAAGCTCTCATTTGAACAGGGGGCGTGTAGACTTTTTAACATGATCAACCACATAGTTTGCTATGCCAGCCAAAAAACAATTCCTGTATCACAAAAAGGGTAGGAGTGCCGTGTCTCACCAACAGGGGGAGACAAACACACCACAACCCTGCATCCACCTTATGATGGATGCCAGCAAATTTACGGTTTGACTTCCACACCCCGTTCCATATCGTTACGTTTTGACGCACAATTTTTTTCACGCTGTTAAAAAACTTGAAAGCTCACATTTTTTTATGTGTCTGTGTCTGTTTGTGTCCAGAGGTGGATGAGGTGGTGAACAGTATTTTGTTCCTGCTGAGTGATAAGAGCACAATGACAAATGGAGTGTCCCTCCCAGTGGACGGAGGGTTCCTGGCCTGTTAAACCAGCACAACATCACCGTCAACATTTCAGCAGTCGTCTGTTTGGTTTCTCGTCAACATTATATTTAGTCTTTCACGTCAATTGTAGTTCTGGTTAATGTACACTTATTTGTATCCATATCTTTGTCTATGTAGGCTGTGCTGAGTGCGTGAAAGCCTGCGATTGAAGTTTCTGTGAGACATGTTTTACTTTCAAAACGTTATTTCCATCTTTTTTTTTTAAATCAATCAACGGACTTGATTCTTTTACACTGTGTGTTGGTTGTGTTGCCACAAGTGACTATAAAACTGTCTGACAACTGTTTCAGTTGAAAAAGCATGCTCGCTTCCCAAGTCTTGCCTCGTCTAAATTTACTCATTTTCCTTCATTACCGTATCGTGTAGTCAAGCGCTGTGGCTGTGCAACAGTCCGGCTGTATTTCTGGCAACCACAGATTCACATTGGCTCTGCGTGCTTTTCAAAATAAAAGTTATTTTACATGCAACGCTTTCAATCTGTTCGCACTTATTGGGGGAAATACGAATGTGATTTAAAAACAATCTAATCATGACATTATAAATATAAGGCTCAGTTCAAATAAATCAATAAATAACTATCCAAGTACAGTATATGCGCTTGCAGTTTGTTGTCGTGTCAAACTTCTTTGGAACATATTTGAAAATTGATTGATTCCATCATGGCGGTTAATGAAGTCATCCTACTTTAGCTCCACCCCTTTGTATATTACTAAATGTGAATTCAATCAATGATCCAGTAGTAGTGAAAAAGCTAATCACTCTTTCATCAGTAATGTTGAAACACCAATCCGGACTATTGTAACCTAATGTAAATAAAGACAAACCCAGGAACCAAATTGATGATTAAAAAAAAAAAAAAAATCAATTGGCAGAAATGTCCCCTGCTGTCAGATAACTTAAACAACATGCTGCTGCAATTGTCCATATCTACGTACTTTTTATTCCATTTTCTTTGATGATTCACATGTAATGTCTCGTGTGTCGAATAAATCAGGACAAAAAGAAAAAAGCCGGACGTACATATACATTTGTATTTCGTATTCCAAAAAATTGAAATATTTAACCCCGCAGACGTGAAGTAATAAAAATTTAAAAATGAGACACAGTTGGAACAAGTATACAATTCATCTTACATTACATACATACATGGCCAATGCTTTTCAACCTCTCCTAAGAATTACAGTGTGTCAAATAACCAGAGAACTCCCATGCAGTAGTAGATTAGGAATTGGTGCTGTATTACTTCGACACCTTATCTAGGCAGGACAACACAACATTATCAACCACATAGTTTGCTATGCCAGCCAAAAAAATACAAAAAAAAAAACAAAAACAAAAACAGTAAAACAAACCAAAAAAAAAAGGTAGGAGTGCCGTGTCTCACCAACAGGGGGAGACAAACACCACAGCCCCGCACCCACGCGGAAATGCATTTACTTTACATTTCATAAAAGGCGCTTTTTTTTGTCACCGACAGCTAAATGCAACTGAAATTGGCCCCTTTATTTTACAATATTAGCAACACTTCTAACTTCAACGTTGATCACTTCGCCTCATTTTTTTTGAGTTATAAGAGGCCTTCGTTTAGCTATTCATAAAGCATTCGTTTTCTAACAATTATACATCAGAAGATGTTGTTTCGATTTTGACAGCCGCGTTTTTTACTGCAGTACATTATGAAAAATAGTACCAAAAAACTTGACACTAGAAACTTGGCTTAAAACAATACTGTCGTTCATGCACTTTCCCCGCACTATCAAACAACGCCCCAACACACACACACACACGCAAACGACATCAAAACAATGGCAGAATATTTTAAGACCCACGCAAAGTCCTCCACGCTCAGAGGCAGCAAGGTTTTCCACGTTTGTCTGTCACATGTTCACAGTTACGATGAAGTTACTCAAACACCTGAGTAACATCAAATGACGTTTGACCACAAACAAAAAAGTCCATAGAACCCAACAGGGAAGTCAAGGATTTCATCTTGTGTTACCTTTTTTTTTTTTTGTAACAAAGATTTTTAAATACATCTCAACAAATAGTGATTTAAATTCACAACTGTGTCCTTTAGAATGTGATATCAGCATATCTGCAGTCATTTTTATCACGAGGGTAAAGCCACTGTTTATTCGTGTCAATGGAATACAGCACAATTTTGATATATTCAAGATTCCTTCATTGTGCTAGATATAAATGTGTCGTATTAACAAAAGGCCAGAAAAGAAGGAGGATGTTAAAACGTTATCTCCGCAATAACACGTTTGCCAAATATATTATAAAACTCATGCGAGTTGGGCTACGAGCAGTCATTGTCTTCTGGCAAACCATTACATAATTTCTTATTTTAACGTTGAAGTAAATTTAGATGCAATACACAAAAAAAAGAGATTCCACTGACCTGCTAGTTATTGGCAGACAACATAAAGTGAAAACACCTTCTACGCTAAATCAGTTTGTTCCGAAATACAACGCCATCACGTCGAACTAATTTCCGGTTGAAACAATTTGTTTTTATGCAAGGCCCTGCAAGGCTAAAGAACAAACTTAAAACCTCCCAAAGAATAATAAAATATGATGTATGTTCAAATACATAACAGGACATAAAAAGTCACAGACCAAAAATGACCTCCAAATTTTCTGAATCATGGACCAGAATTTTCCTCAGTTCATTTTATTTCCGGGAGTATTTGACTTTTGAAGTATTTCATTTTAATGAATACTCCCATGAAACAGTATTTATTCATTTATACTTGCGAGACACATTTTATAGATGTGTTAGAATTTATAATATAACAACCACCTAGCAAAAATGTTCTTGCCATTTTGCTCAACCCTTTCAGGGACAGCGGTAACTACAGCGGACAGCTTATCATGTTATCAGGTTACAGGGTGCATGAAAGGCTTAAATTCAAAATTTCAACCATTATTCTAGTGTTTGCTTAATTTCGCCTACCTAATCGAAAGTATTTTTTCATCATGTTAACCTCTTAAAGTCCTTCTAATCAAACGGCAGGACAGTACTTGGAGGTATTTGTAATTTAATTCATAAATATTTTCATGATGTCTATCGGCTATAAATGCAGTTCAGGTTGTATTTTACCAAAGGCAAATTATTTCGTATTTTTCTATGAATCAGGATTAAGTAAATCCCAGCGCAATTTTTTTTTTTTTAAATAAAAGTGTTCAGTAACAATGGTGTCATCATGCTTAAACCCTTTCAGGGACAACGGTTACTACAGTGGACAGTTTATCATGTTACCAGGTTACAGGTTGTGTGAAAGGGTTGAATTGTAATCCAAGGACTAGTTTTATTGGCGGCTAAATCTTCAAGTAGTTCCTCACCGTAATCTCCTAATCTAAGAATTGACTCCGGCATTTTTAAGACAAGTTCACAGTTCACGTTCTATCGCTCAACACGGCATTCATTCAAGCAAGCAGGACTACGAAAGACGGGAACGTAGCTGTGTCAGACGAGGAATAGAAACCTTTGTTATAGCCCTCATGGGAACTCGGTGTGGTTCTATGGATACAAAGTACTGCAGGTCAATGTATTTTGACCTTATTCAGTAATGAGAACACAATCAAGAGAAATATCGGTCCTGTGACCAATATCGCTTTGAAAAAAAAAACATCAATAGAAAGAAAGCAATCTTAGCAGTGCACACCCACTCGAGCTAGTTTCCTCTCCTCGTCATCCTACAGATGTAGTGGTTCTTGTTTAATGACTTGCAGTTGACATGTTTTTTTTTTTTTCACGATCGTCTTCTCAGAATATGGTGCACCTCTTTCCCCTCTTCTTCACAGGCGGGGGGCAGAGCACGGCTCGGATGGCCTCGTCGAACACTGTCTTCAGACCTCGCTGGGTCAGCGCAGAACACTCGAGGTACTTTACAGCTCCTGAGGACCAGGAAAAGACCATGATCAGGGGACATGTTTCCCCCCTCAAAAAGATATTGTTTCCCGGGCCCACCAAAGTCCGTCAGCCTGTCAAAGGTGGTAGCGTCTCTCGGCTTGAAGCTCGTCAACAGCAAACATCAAAGTATCCTTAAGCGAGTTACTCGACTGAACTGATCTGAAGTACAGTGGTACCTCTTACTTACAAAATTAATTGGTTCTGGAAGAAATTTCGTAACTTGAAAATTTTGTAGAGACGCGTTTTCCTTGTAAATGCCCTAATTTGTTCCAACTGTTTATTAATTCAATTTGCTAGTAATCAGCAGAACATGGGTTAATTTCTCCCCGCCAAAAAAGCCTATTGTGAAAACAAGCTAGATGTGAAAAGATATACTCTATGTACAACAGTAACTTTTTATGACTAGTAGTTTTTGCTTTGGATGCCTCAATCATCTGAACAGTCTATAAAATGGCAATAACAACAATGAAAATGTGCTTTTGATGGCAAAATACAATTACAAATGCTCACCAGTGTAACAATTTTACATTTAACAAGTTTACAAACTGTTTGCACATTATTTAGTAGCAGTAGTATTTAGTCGTGTGTGTGTGTGTGTGTGTGTGTGTGTGTGTGTGTGTGTGTGTGTGTGTGTGTGTGTGTGTGTGTGTGCGT